TGTTCGACACGGTCGTGAAACCCGCGATGATCGTTAAACAACCAATATCGATCAACGGTAAAGAAAACAATAATCCGCGAAGGCAGGTATCGACAGGATAAAACGACAACGAACGGGTTCTTATCGAATGAGAAAAGTTCGTGGTCGCAGCCGAGAGAAAGTACGTCATTATAATACTCATCGCGGTTTGCCCAAAGGATTAACCATAAATTGCACGTCGCATCAAATGCCAACCGGCAACTTAATGACTACCGTAATCATTTTGAAAGTCCGGTGAATCGGTGAACCGTGAGAATGAACAAGATATTCTCTACCGTCTTCAGAGTTGCGTCACCGACTACGACGACAAAGAAGAAGGAGAAAGAGAAGTAAAAGAAGAAGAAGACGAATACAACGTGGCTATTTATCTCTTCCGACAATGAGTCTGGCTCGCTTCATGTCCGATTGAATATCACTGAGCCACGAACACCAGATCGATACATGACATACCATTTCTTCTCGTCGTAGATTTCCGTGTAATAGAAACCCCATTACCACGGCCAGGGATTTGATTAGGATAATCGATTTCACGGGTAATCATAGGTTTCGTTCTTGTACGAGACCGCTGCCGGTATTATCGCGATCGAACGATCCATTTCTTCGATAAATTTGAGACGGTTGTTTATCACTAACTGACGCGCAAGCGCGATACACATGGTCGACTGTGAATCACAACAATAGATCGTGACGACATCTATTCCTTTTTTCGTTTATTTTTTTTTCTTTTTTTTTATTGGCTATGAAGAAAAAACTCGATCAATGAGTTCTTTTGTAGATATAAAATTCATAGGAAAGGAAGATAAGTCAAATTTTTATTTTTCAAGGAAATAATGTTAATATTTGAAACATTCTGACTAATTGTACATTATCAAAAAAGTCGTTTGTTATTTGATTGTGAAAATAATTGTGTGCATTCCTCGGTGTCGTAAGTGATCCAAAAATATCAATTATCGTAATTTTGAGTCACTAATTAAAAAAAAGCTATTTTTGCTTTTTATGAAAAGAGAAAAGATACTTTTATCTGTTCTAAGGGTTCGTTCTCAATTGTCTTTTCTTTTCACATTTTCTTATTATTTACTGTTATCGTTTCTATTCGTGTGTTTTTTTAGGGAATTTGTTCATCGTAAAAAATTGCTTAAATCTTTTCTATGTAAATATAGTGAAAAAATAATAATAAAATAGTAATAGAGATTACCGCTGTAAAAGATTTGATTAGGTAATTGACATCGTGAGTAGTTGTAAAGTATGTTTTCGCATAAATCCTGTGAGATTATTATCGCGATTGAGTAAGGTTCTTAGTATTTTATTTATCCTTGTTAATATTTCATGAGAGTGTATGAAACTTATGCTATGAAATATAAACCGTTAAATGTCATCCCCTTACTAAAGCTTCATTTTAAATGAATGTCTCTCGTTTGAATTATTTCTTTTAAATTCTAATTATGGATTAAATTAATAGTTTAAGTACAAGAATAAGTTTTATTTAAACACACTTAATAAAAGATATCGATCACGATAAAAGAAGGATGTTTGTTACCAGCAATAGTAGAATTTTCTTCTAGAAATTGATTTTAATTGGTTTCTCTTACCATTTGGTTACGGTCACTGATTTAGTTGAAACTTTGCAGGTTTGCAGATTTCGACATGCAGTTCAAGAATATATATCACTATAGCCGCAACTAATCAATAGTTTTTGAGATATTTATGATTAAAGTTTTACTACTGGGTACATTATACATTTATTTTCAACACTTTACAGCTGCAGTTGTGGCTTAACGGCGACAGTCAATACTTCATAAGAGAACGACCGGGGTTCGATTCCCGTTGTCCCACATAGCTTTTTCAATTTATTTTATATTTATTTTTTGTCTATGAAAATATTGTAAATAAACAATTGTAAATAAAATTTCTTAATAAAAAAATTTATCTTTTACGCTTTCTTATGCTAGTATATATTTATTACAAAATAATAAGAATATTACGCAAGAGAAACATTTTTCTATAGCAATCTTATTTACTACAGGAAATACAAAAGCTATCGCTCATGTAAGTAATAATTATTAAATTAAACATCCTATAAGAATGTTGCGATAGCTTTTTCAATTTATTTTATATTTATTTTTCATCTATGAAAATATTGTAAATAAACAATTGTAAATAAAATTTCTTATTAAAAAAATTTATTTTTTACGCTTTCTTATACTAGTATATATTTATTACAAAATAATAAGAATATTACGCAAGAAAAACATTTTTCTATAGCAATCTTATTTATTACAGGAAATACAAAACCTATCGCTCATGTAAGTAATAATTATTAAATTAAACATTCTATAAGAATGTTGCCTATAATTCCAACTTTGCTGTACAACTATAAATGTTTATGAAATAATTACAAGAACTTGTAAATTTATTAATTTTCTACTGCCGAATAAATACAAATTTTACCGCCTGCGATCAGCGCCATCTATGATTTGGGCTCAAAAATCAAGAAAGTGATAGGAATATAGAATAGGCAAGGTGGTCGTCGAAGAGCTCGTCACATGACAGACAAGGACAGAGAGGGGATAGAAAAGGATAAAATGGCCCCGGCAGTGAAAAATTATTAATTACTCAATTCCTGTAATTAATTTATGAACTTTTATAATTTCATTGCAGAGCTGGAACTTCAAACAACATTCTTATATAATATTCGTAAAGAATTTAACTCTACATTGTTAGTTATTAATTTTTGTTTTATGGCGTCTATGATTTCGTAACGGCGGCCATCACGATCTTCCGTGAAAATATTTAATACTCAACGAAACTAGAATCAAAATGTGAACAAAAGTGATATGGGAAGACGCCCCAGAATGTTGTTTATATAATGAGTGCATAAAGTTTCATAAATTAATTGCGTAAAGGATACTAATTAATGAAAAATCAATGGCGTCTTCGACAATCTTCGACAATAATTCAAACATTTCGTAGAATAATTATTAATAATTAATTAATTAGGGACAAATTTCTATCGAAAAATATATTGGAAAGTTCTTGAAGGATCTGGCTTTACGATGCAATTATAAAAGTTCATAAATTAATCACAGATATTGAGTAATTAGTGAATTTTCCACTGCCGATTTGATTTATTAAAATATATTCGGAGCACATAACCAGAGTTAGTAAACTGATATCAGAGCCATCTATGTTCTCGTTGCGGAACTTGAGCTTCGAGTCTAAAATCATAGATGGCTCTGATGTCAGTTTACTAACTCTGGTTATGTGCTCCGTATATATTTTAATAAATCAAATCGGCAGTGGAAAATTCACTAATTACTCAATATCTGTGATTAATTTATGAACTTTTATAATTGCATCATAAAGCCAGATCCTTTAACAACTTTCCAATATATTTTTCGATAGAAATTTGTCCCTAATTAATTAATTATTAATAATTATTCTACGAAATGTTTGAATTATTGTCGAAGATTGTCGAAGACGCCATTGATTTTTCATTAATTAGTATCCTTTACGCAATTAATTTATGAAACTTTATGCACTCATTATATAAACAACATTCTGGGGCGTCTTCCCATATCACTTTTGTTCACATTTTGATTCTAGTTTCGTTGAGTATTAAATATTTTCACGGAAGATCGTGATGGCCGCCGTTACGAAATCATAGACGCCATAAAACAAAAATTAATAACTAACAATGTAGAGTTAAATTCTTTACGAATATTATATAAGAATGTTGTTTGAAGTTCCAGCTCTGCAATGAAATTATAAAAGTTCATAAATTAATTACAGGAATTGAGTAATTAATAATTTTTCACTGCCGGGGCCATTTTATCCTTTTCTATCCCCTCTCTGTCCTTGTCTGTCATGTGACGAGCTCTTAGACGACCTCCTTGCCTATTCTATATTCCTATCACTTTCTTGATTTTTGAGCCCAAATCATAGATGGCGCTGATCGCAGGCGGTAAAATTTGTATTTATTCGGCAGTAGAAAATTAATAAATTTACAAGTTCTTGTAATTATTTCATAAACATTTATAGTTGTACAGCAAAGTTGGAATTATAGGCAACATTCTTATAGAATGTTTAATTTAATAATTATTACTTACATGAGCGATAGGTTTTGTATTTCCTGTAATAAATAAGATTGCTATAGAAAAATGTTTTTCTTGCGTAATATTCTTATTATTTTGTAATAAATATATACTAGCATAAGAAAGCGTAAAAAATAAATTTTTTTAATAAGAAATTTTATTTACAATTGTTTATTTACAATATTTTCATAGATGAAAAATAAATATAAAATAAATTGAAAAAGCTATCGCAACATTCTTATAGGATGTTTAATTTAATAATTATTACTTTATTTTGTTTATTATGTATATTAATTATTTTGTAATAAATATATACTAGCATAAGAAAGCGTAAAAGATAAATTTTTTTATTAAGAAATTTTATTTACAATTGTTTATTTACAATATTTTCATAGACAAAAAATAAATATAAAATAAATTGAAAAAGCTATGTGGGACAACGGGAATCGAACCCCGGTCGTTCTCTTATGAAGTATTGACTGTCGCCGTTAAGCCACAACTGCAGCTGTAAAGTGTTGAAAATAAATGTATAATGTACCCAGTAGTAAAACTTTAATCATAAATATCTCAAAAACTATTGATTAGTTGCGGCTATAGTGATATATATTCTTGAACTGCATGTCGAAATCTGCGAACCTGCAAAGTTTCAACTAAATCAGTGACCAAAAGGACTTGCACTCTCCTTGTAAGTCTATCTACCATAGTAGTTCTGTTCTTAAATTTTAGCAAATAATTATTTTCCATTTTAATTTTTTTCTATAACAAATGTTATTAATATTTTTTTTTCGTTACGAAATTAATTTACTTTATTAATTAAGGAAATAATAGTACAAAAATATTAAATTTTCTTTTATATCTTTTCACAGAATCATGTACAAGAATTTATCGAGAATGGCTTATCTCGAAGTAATCATATTTTTATGTAAGTACGATTAGAGTATCTATTGTCATACCTACTATAATGTAAATTATTTTGTATTACGCGGACATTACGTTAGCGTCATTGAACGTTAGATAAGGGAAACGAAATATCATTATACGGGGAAATGAAAATCTTATCGCTCCTTAATATTCGACGCTTATGTGTCACTCGGTTTTTTCAGGTTCAATGGTCATTTTCATGGTCAGCAATTGCGAAGCAGAGGTGATTATAATTGCTCGTTAACGGTTCTATTGTATAAAACATTTATATTTAATATCATTCATTTACCCTATCATTACTGCAAGTAAATTATGGAATGTGTTAAAGAGAATCATTCAGTTCTTTAAGACGTTCTGAGATTATTTATTAGACAGAATTAATATTTATATTTTGTTCAGCTGTATTACGAATTGCTTTCATTTTTAGTCAGAAAATAGTAATAAAAAGGCAAGTCTACCAAAGCTGCCGTCAGAATTGGATTTGCCCAGCATAGAAGCATCGATAGAAAACGAAGAATCGTTGAAAAAGATAGTGAAAAGACTGGCACCAGAGAAGAATGGCGAGTACCAAATTTATCAAGGTTCCTAAGCTATACTCTTACTAACACCGAAAGTAACTGTTTTAATCTTCTTCCGTTCTTCTCTCTAAAGTGCTTTCTTCGCCTTTCTTTCCCAGTCTTCTTCGGCAATGTGGATCTTCTCAAGGAATGGCTCAAAGGAGCGGGTATTATTAATAATACTGCATAAGTACACCAGCCGCTTTCTCTTTCAGCTTCCTCTCTCACTTGGTAGAATAAAGCGCATGCATCCAGTTAGCATTCTTTTGAAATTGATCGATGTGACAACTAATACCGCGTATCACCAGGAAATCGATATCGATTGGTGGGAAAAGAAGAAAACTACATTAGATATCGATACCGTCTTTAACATAGAGCTTGGAAAGGATCTTAATAAACTCTGATCTTAATTTATAATTGTTCGAACAAATGTTCTATGTTTTCACAAGGTATTTACGTATTCAAAGTAACAATTCTCTTCAAGAAAAATGAGATGCAAAATTTGAAATAAATGTTGCTCGAACAATTACAGGAATCTTCGACTTGCATGAAAACGTTTTGTTTGCATGAGATCCATGAACTTCGTTGAAACTTTTCACATTTTCGTCGTATTTAAGAGTCATAAATGAATAAAAATTATGCATCTTGTTCAAAAAAATTATACTATCGGTGAACTTTTAAAACTAGATGATCGAGTCGTACAATGAGACGAGCGCTTTTCTAATTTAGGTGTAACAGGACAGCCAGGAGTAGACTTTCCAGCTCTCACGACAATTCCAGCCACTTCGTTCAGCTGTCGCGGTCTGAAAGGTGGTTACTACGCGGACTTGGAGACGAATTGTCAAGTAAGTAACAAATGGCTTAATATATATCTTGCCGCAACGTAATTACTTTAATCAAACGAGACGTTCAGCGTTACGACATCGTGGTATTTCGTTGCACGATAGTGTAATCGAGTAAGTCGATGAAAAAACATTTAACTCGTTGAAACTTTTGAAACTTTCTCCTGAAAAATTCACATTATCAAAAATATCGAGCTATTCAAAAACAAGGAAAAGAAAACAGACAATCTTATAAAAATCTAGAATTAAAAAGATAGAAATAAGGCAAACTTAAAATACAAATTAGACAAAAATGATGTTAATACTCGTTTTCTTATTTAGGTGTTCCACATCTGCGACAACGGACGAAAGATATCGTTCCTCTGCCCCAATGGTACCATCTTTCAACAATCGCAGTTAATTTGCGATTGGTGGTTCAAGGTGGACTGCAGCAAATCCACGGAATTATACGAACAAAGTAGCGAGCAGCTACTCGAAGAAGAAAGAAGGCGGGCTGAGTTACGGAAATCAAAATTGGACTATCAACAGCCGATCGTATCAGGTGTGCAACAAGACTATTACGATGTCCAAAATCACAATTACGATGGTAAGCAAAATGGTAGAATCAAACCGTACGAGGAGCCTCCGCAGGAAAATCAGGTGCAATCAAATAGAGAAAGAATGAAATCTCCTCGACACTTTGATTCTGGCAACAGTTTTAGCCAAGACTCGAACGCGCCAAGAGATAGCAATCAGCTGTTTGGTTCCAATGGGTTTCAATCGAACCAACCCACTTCGAGTTTGAAGCAACAATTCAATCAGTTCACGAGGAATACCGAGGAAGGGAACGTGAATAGATACTCGACAACCAATCAAGATTATTACAATTCTCCGAAGAAGGCGCAAAATTACTATGTTACTAACAGGAACTTAAATACTCAACGGGAAGACAAAGGTGCTTTGAAAAGATTGAAGTTTAAGGGTTTGACCAAAAGTAATTCCACTTTCACTGCTTCACAGAGAGTTATCCCAGCTTATACGGAATCAACCACGTTTAGAGCAAGCAATATTAGCCCTGTAAAAGAATCTCAACAATTTGCAGAAAGTGCAGCGTTCGTTAGTAATCGGAGGAATCGATTCAATGAAAATACTGGAAATACTCATCAATATTACTATCAGTTATATACTAATCGCGATTCCACTACGAGAAATTCTAATTATGATCTAACAACTACGACCACGTCGAGACAAGATAATGAAAACGATATATCCACTCAGAGAAATGATTTCTCCTCGTTTACAGACACGACACCTAATTATTATGAGACGACTACACAGTACGCGACAACTACTGCAACTCCTCCGTGTAGTGACGAAGCCACCACAGAAGGGAGCTTTTCAACAAATCCATCTACCAACTTTGATACTCAACCAACAACTGAATCTTTTCTGCTTTCCAACAGTAATTACGAATATTATGGAAATGCGAGGACTACCGCGAACGTTCGGAACAGTTTCGTTGATAAAAATCACCATGACAGTAATAATAACAGGGATGTCAATAAACTGACTAATGAGGACAGTAATACAGGGACGATTCCTGCAACGACTCGTTCATACGTGACTACGGATGTTTATCATCAAAATACCTTAACACCGAATTCTCCTCAACAAAGATATACCACGAGTTATTTTTCTCCTACACCAACCACATCTTTTCATAGTAGTAGTTTTGGACGTAATACGGAAAGACCTGTAACTCGAAACACGATCAATAGTCAGTCTTATGGATTAAACGAAGATTCTAAAGCAATTGGCAAGAACCCCTCTACGGTTTCGCCAAGCTATCGACAAAACTTCATTAGCACAACTACGGACAAACCTTCAAGAGCAACTACACTAGCTTACCAACAAAATACTGTGACTGAAAAAGATTTAAGTCCTTATGATAGAAGCTTCACGTATAAGCAAGGCAAAGCAATGTCTACTCTAGGTCCTTATATTCCATTCACAAGAAACTACGCTTACACTTCCTCTAGCACTTTAAAACCCACCCCATACACACCTACAGTGCCCACTTACACCACAACATACGCATCATCGAAGACACTGATTCCAAAATTGAAATATCCTGCTCCGACAACGTTGAGCAAACTTAAGCCGAATGCAGTACGATTCTCTGAGAGGGAACACGCTTTAAGTATGCTTCATTCCCTGAAAAATCTCGAGCACAATGTTCCTAGTTTATCTGACACGATATCAGGAAATGACAGGCCATCCAATGTTTCCGTTCCTCCAGCTCCATCAACTTTGCACTCTTTGGCTCTCTACTTTTCTACGGTTACCGAGAACTTCGATTCCAGTGAAACTACGGATTCGTCTGTAAGCATAGAGTCTGCAGAAGATGTAGAGAAATCAATACTCTCTAAAAAGAGTAATGGAACAGTCCAAGTGCCGACCAGTCTTTTAACTCAACATACTATCAATTCGTACACGGAATTGTTCAAACTGAACAATGTGGTAGAGACCAATAATGTAACTACGGAGGATCGCCTAGATAACGGTAGTACTTATAGAGGAGATGATTATAATGATGATTTGGAGATTCAACAAAGTGGAGGATCATTAGACGATCTTCGAAAATCGAATAGTACTAGGCTTCGAGAGCTGGCTCAAGTGTTCACACACGCCTTGTCTGCGTATTTATTGGATCCAGATACGTTCAAGAAGGTATTAACAGAGATAAGACCCACTGTACCACCACAAACAACGGAAGAAACTGAACTATGGAGAACTACTACTCCTTATTCGGTCGAAGATGAGGATAACACATCATCGATCAGAGAAAAGGACGAAGTTCTAGACTTCTCGGACGACGGTAACGATATTAGACAGAAATTGACCACTATTTATCCTACTACGTTTGAACCACCCACCACCACGGTTCAAGAAAGCGTTTACGAAACTTTCAGCACATTGCCAAGTACTTATTACACTACTCCTAGAACTCCGGTCCAAGATGTATTTGAATATAGCACAAACTTTGCGTCGTTGAGTCCTGTGACTAGTACATACTTGGAGACTTCAGTCTCTGCAACTGAAAGTACATTTACCACGGAACCAAATAGTACTCCGTACACAAGTGATTCTAGCAGATTTTACTATCAGAATAACGAGGTAGACAAAGGAAGCGTTGAAACAACTGTGACGGATAGTCATGACGAGATCGGGAATCAGAATCGAGTTGGAGGCTTCCAGAATAATAGTATTACGACCGTCACTGAACCGTATAATGTTGAAAAATTATTCGCCACAACTCCGATAAGCGACAATTATATCGTTTCGTCAACATCTTCTCCTCCATCGTTGTTTATACACAAGGCTACCTACAATTGGAATAAGAAAGGTACTAGTAAAAAACTTGAACAACAGTTAACGCCTCCATTAACCGACAGTCATTCGGAAGCTCTTCAAAAGGAAATCGATAAAATTCCTGTATCTTTGAAGCCAGAGAGTTATTCCAGTACCCCAATGACAACACACAATATACGCGCAACTACTTTTGACTTGACCAAGAGTTATGAAACATCCACTAACCAACCTCATCAAATTCATCGTCATAAATTATTATTACCGGAATCCAAACCGATTGGACTTTCCCTTTCCACGTTACAAAGCAGTTATACGAAACTTAAAAATCTCTATAATCGCCTGGACGAGCATAATATTGGAACCACGGAAAGAGCGACAACTACAACAGCTCCTGTAACTGAATTGGCAACCGTGACGATGAATAATATAGACACTACACCTTGTGCAAACACTGATTTTGGTGACTTTTTCGAGTCCATAACGGAGAAGGGGGAATTGAAAGTATTAGACAATGACCATTGGACTTCGTCGCCAGCTGTTACTCAACTATGGGAGACTTCTGTCTTTGTTGATCCTCAAAGAATCAATCATGGTTTAGAGTCGGACCTTGGGTCGACTGTTTCAACGGGAACATTCAGCATTACTGATAGCCATGAAAGGCTAGAATATGCAAACACACCGTCGCTTGGTGAAGATGTATCAAACAACTCAGAAGAATCTTTTATCGGGGATGAAGATATATCGTTTTCCGCGCAGAGATTATCCAGGGGCAAGGATTCGCCTACGACCTTCTCTTTGCTTCCAACTTCGGTCACTGTTGAGAATACCGTAACACCAAAACCACTGATAAACACACATTCTAGTATCACTACCACTGTAACATCCTCTGTCACGTCGACTAATTCATTGACTCAGGATAACGCGGTGACTCCATTATTACCCTACACAGTGGCAACGAGTAAGTTGAACGGGACGGAGAGCGAAATTGCTGAGAAATTATTCGGTAAATTAAACGCTTCGAGTACCAATACGTTAATGAAAGTGATGAAACAGGCGGATAATAACGAGACTGTTCGACAACTTGTTCTTCTTTTAATTCGACACTGTGGCGATCCAGCGAACAAAACCTTGCAACGCGAAAAGGAAGAATTGTTAAACGCGTTGCTCAGATTACCCGTGAACGAATTTTCGTCCGAAAACTCGAAGAACGTAGTGGCTGGGATTAATCAGCTTAGTCTACCCGCTGTTAGACCAACTAACTATGCGAGGAACACCGCCACCACGCCTCTAGTTACCGAACCACCAGTGACTACATTTAGGAGTAGAAAAAGTCGAAAATTTCGAACAACCACGGAAAATTCAGTAAATATCGTGAGACGATCGGAAAAGGGAGCAACATTGGACGAAAATAATTCTTTGCAGGAAGATGAGACCTCCGCGTCGGACAATAGGGCGCTGGAACTTCTCAGATCGTTGTACACGATAGCTACAAAATGGGGGTGAAATTTTAGGGCGTGAAGTATAAGTAGCGAGGAATGTTTAGTGTCGACAGGCTCTGAAGATAAATCCCTTAAGAAATGTGTCTTTTCGAGGAAATGGAAACTGTTTTTGATGTTACTGTAGTTTGTTTAGGATCAATTAATCGTTCAAGATGAATGGTATAATAGAGATTTTGAATGGTTGATTGTTTTTGGGTAGATTCTAGGTATATTAGATGATTCGATTAATTAATCTAAATTTACTAATTGTAAATCAAAGATTTTTATTCCATTTTTTATTATTATCTTCTTTTTAGCGTAATTGCATATTTTGGATCACTTTTGTTCAATTGATTTTACAATCCGATTCCAATGAGACGAAACTGCAATGTTTCTATGGGTGATGGGAACGTAACACGTAATTGCTACGATGGAAGTATCTTTCCTTTCAATTTATATACGCACGGAATTTTTAAATCTTAAGTAGAAAGAAGTTACGGTGAGTGAACATCGAAACGACTCCCGACTAATTTCAAAGTCACGGATGAACGAGTCCGTGAGAATAATGAAATTCTTTGGAACTCGTTCGTTAGGTTATAAATTAAATATGTATCTACAATTGCACCTGATCGTAACAGTATTACATCGCGTACGAGTACACTGTATCATAATCGTTGTACACTCTTTGTTGAATAAATAAGGATTTCGATGTTCTATAATAAACTTAGCAACTTATCTTCATTCGAGATGCGAGTTATATATCTATCAATGTTGAAATGGTTTCTATGGTTTGCGAAATTTCAACCATTTTGACAAGGAAAAAATGAAAACTTATATCATAAACTTAGATTACTTGGAATCGCTTTGAATCTTGGTGTTGGTATGTTTCTGTGTATCTGGGTATTCTAAAGAGCAACAACTTTAAAGGTACGAGGCCCTTGTTAAACGTACTGAATAGTCCATGATATTTTTCTAAAATCTTTTTATTTTATTTGCAAATTTTCTTTCTTTGTTTTCTGTGAAGGAATGCAATCGATTAGTTCTTTCCTTCATGGTTCAACAATGATTAACACTTTATTTCAAGATCGTCTACGCTCTGTTTTAATCATATACACTTTCAAGAATATTTAAATCGACGCTTATCACATATTGTCACTTGACATTTAAGTTGGTACGGTAGATATTATCGTGGTTGTGTAAAATACATTTGTACAGAATATGAATAAATAAAAAAGGGTTTTGTTAGTGTTTACCTCCTTTGTTCTTTCCTTCTCCACACATTTGTTGATCATCAATAATATTACGCATGATTTAAATAAAATAGGATTCATGGTAAACTCCGGTAAACTATGCACAACAATCGATTTTATTACGCATCATTGAAGTATGTTAGCAACATGTTTAAATATCAGCGTGTACCATAATACTGCAGGAACGTAAAATTAATAAATTCTGTTTTTACAACACTCTGATCTTCATTACTTGTCCAAACGTGGTCCTCGATCCAATCTAAATAAGAATACACTGCGGTATAAACACCTGGGATATCACTACCGCATGATGATCCGAAAGACGTGATTCCGATTATGCTATCGCCTTTTTCTGTAATCATTAATAACGGTCCTCCACTATCTCCATAACAGGCATCCGGCCTATTGTTGTTATTCGTTTTATTTCCTATGGCGCAAATCATGTTGTCATCGATGCCACGAGACAATTTTTTAAATCCTTTGTAAAGCTTGGCACATTCTTCTTTACTCACAATGCTGTAATTCGAAACGAGTTAAAATTGTTAATATTTAATGGAAGAATTTTTAAATATTTGTAAATTTGAATAACATTAATGAATAAAAATATTCATTAAAACAGTGTCTCAATAATTTATAGATATTAAAAATTATAATTTAACTGCAAAGTTTGTAAATTTTTTATACCTGAGACTAGGTGTTTTCATTAAGGAATTAGAGTTCGAGGTTTCTTCGTTAGTCGCGCCCCATCCAATCACTCTTAGAGATATTTTCGATGTTAGATTTATGTCATTTATGGATTTCGTATGAAGGCAGACAGGTTTAACCATATCCGAAAACTTCACCTTTGTTTCCAGCTTCAGAATGGCGACATCATTATAATGTGCACTCATTTTGTATTCCGGATGATATATTACCTTCCTTATTGGGATTCGTTGCACTTTCACCTCAATGCTCTGTAAGTTTACATTTCCCAATCGTACCTGGCACAACGGACAATATTATAATTGGATTTATTTTTTAACAAAAATCATTCGATACTTACTTCAATAGGGACTTTTTTTTGGATATTAAATACACAGTGTGCTGCTGTCAATACATGTTGAGGAGATATCAAACTTCCTCCGCAACTGTATTCGATAGATGCATTCCTAGTGCTATTATTTTTGTATCCTAAAGCCGCCATGTATGGAAATTCACCAGCCTGAGCCTTGATCCCCTCAAATATATGGTACGCTATTGAATCCACTTCCTTCGTCACTCTTTTCGTATCATATTCCTGACAAGCTGAGAATTATAAAGATGAACGAAAAAGGATGATTCGGAACAATCAAATTTCTAATAAAAATTTGATAAATTTAATCTGGTAAATAGTCCGGTAAAATATCTTTCATGGATTAACATGCTCTTAACCTTCGTAGGAAAAGAGAAACTTTGAAAAAAATACGCATAGTTTATGTACTTTGTTCTACGCATTGTACATAAATCTTATATTAAAAAGAAGGCCGGCCATTTTAATTTTAAATGGAGTATGCAAATCAACTTCATAGCAGGTGATTTATATGCATTTTATGATCGTGATATTTTATCAGGGTATTTCTTTCCGACATACATTTATGCATTTCGTGTTTCACTTTAGATTTGGATAAAATGCATGAAACTTGATATATTAAAACAATAAATCCACATCGCAATTTCTTTCGCGGACTTTTAGTTAAATATATATATTTAAAAATATACTTGAAATATTTTATAGGATCCATAGCAACGAGTTACTTCGAAATTGTACATTAGAGTCTCTTGGATATTTCCGGATCATTAATTATCAGTGATGATCTACAGACTCCGATGTGTTATACTACGCACGTTTTTCACACATAGAAACAAATCATGACTCATACACACGTGTGAATCTTTATGTACGTATATCAACACGATTATGTTATAAATTATTGTGATCTTACTCGTTACAAGCATTTCGTTCTTCCTAGATCCTTAAAAATAACCTTAAAATATAAACTTTCTACATCGAACCTCGATAAGAGAAAAAACGTCGGAAATATGTCTTAACAAGATTAATTATTTGTTAGCTACGCTATAATTGATTCAACAAGGATTTATTACCCTCGTTTCATACTATAGATGTAGATTATTTTTCATAGCTGAAACCGGCACTTAAGACTAATAACAAATTTCATTTTCTATTTTCATCAAAAAAGATAGAAACGTACCAGCGTCAGCCGGTCGGAGTGACATTTTTTCAGAAATATTCACGGGGCAACAAACAATCTCGATAAAGCCAATGAATCCACATCTTCCCGTAGAAGTTGACTGTCTTATGCCGTCTTGTACCTCCTGCCTTCTGGTCGGACAATCAAGTAATTTCTTGCAGAAACCTAAATTACCATTTTCCAATTTGCATGAGCTGCCTTCTGTGATAAACAAAAAGAAGCGAAAGGTAGTACGCCTTTTACTCGTCTTAATGTCGAGTTAGTATCGATAACAGGATTGTTTTTGAAGTAGAATTTTCTGTTTCCTTCAGTCGGTTTGTTCGTGCGAGCATGGTATGGTCGATATTCGAAACGAGCAGTGCAAAATTTGTTCGTAGAAAGGACTAAAGTTCGCAGCACAGTGCAACAAGCACGACGTCATAAAGTATATGTCAGTAAACGTTTCGTTCACGTGTGGAATACCGAATTCACGAGGTCCAGCTTCTACGCGTTCGTATAATCATACACATTTCGTTGGAATGAAAAACAAACGATTCATCATAATTCCGGTCGTAACGAAAATAAAGTTTACGAAAAACAAAAGAAAGATTCGTTTCTTTCCAGGGAGCCCGAGCGGAATGGATAAACGTAACCCCACTGACATTTGGAATTGAACGTTTTCACGTAAAATGGTTATAGATTTTCTAATCATTTGACACAAAAATTATAACGACGAAAGAAAAACTCACTCACAAATAAACCGAATACTTATTTTATTTACCGTAGAGTTCTTCACTGATTACAAGCGCTGTAGTGGCGAGAAACAAAATGAACACGTTCAAAAGAACGTTGTTGCACATTTCCTTAATAACGATAAGCAACGAGGCGAAGAGGAACAAAACAAACGATGCTGATAAACCAATCCGCGCAGCATGCAGTTCAAGACTAAACTGATGGTCAAGTAAACTTAAGCGATGCCATAAACCGGATAGGGAGGAAAGAGTCATAGAAAGATTCACGCCGCCGGTTAGACTTTTCTGGTAGAAAAAGAAGAAACAGATATAAAAACAATGAATCAACGTGTCCGCGTGAATGGACATTAATGATGCAGAAAGATATACAATGATTAACATATTACGTATGGTTACATACGTTAGGCGTCTTATGTCATAAACCGGATTTAAACAATGCAATTAAGTTATATGCTGTATTTTACGTTCCTTATAATTTTTTGAAATTTAACAATGCCTTAATGATACTGTTATTTGTTCCAGGCCAAATTTTAAGTTTTTATTCAATAACAGTTATGTTATTTTTCAGGACAGACATCCATTTTCAATCGTATCATTTCGAAAGTGCATCATGGTTAATATCGATTTTTATTTCCGACGAGTTGCTGGTGATCTGTAATTGACATTAATTTAATGACGTTTCTTGCACTATTAATTGGGGTACAGTTAACATCCAACCATGCAACAGTCGATCTTCATTCGGATAAAAATTCTTACATAATGTTAAGTTAGTGAAAATTATTAAACGCTTATAATAGATATTGACGCAATCATCATGCAGAATATTGTTTTTATCGCTTTGATACTATAATTTCTACTAAACATGGCCATTGTATGACATTTTTCCTTTTGTTGTTTGTTCAAGGACTCCTCACCATTTTGAATCTATTTTACATTTCGTTTAAAAATTTGTACAATATTCAGCATTCTAAGTACATTTAAATGCATCTACATGATGTTATATAGAACAAATCAGTTAGAAGTTAAAGAATAGTCAAATTGAAATTACAAGTAAAGTATGTTGTATTAAAGAAATGTACAATGGAATAAATAAAAACTCCGGGCATCGAGAGTGAAGTTGGGTCATCGTTGGATGACCGTGAACGATAAGTATTTATTTCTGTAACAATAGCTTGAGTACATCAACGGTAAATTTCACGAAATTTCCTTTCCTGTCCGAATTACCTGTTTCAGTCAAGGAGAACATCGTTTCTTTAACCCATCGTACTTAGTCAGCAATACCCAGAAGTCCCTTTCCAATATATCTTGATCTCGGTAATCTCGTTTCTCGGTAATCTTATTCACATATGATTATATTAACCGGGAATCTCGATACCAGTGAAATCACATGGTTATTTACTTACAGGGTTTCCCATAAAAATAGAACTTGGGGGTTCACACACGTACGACATTGGCCTGAATACTTTCTTTAAAATGCATCCGCGTAAAAATAACCGAGTTTCCACGAGATATACTGGAAATGATGATCGTACGTGTATCGTGATAAAATAGCTACTTAAAGTCTTTATTTCATAAAATTTTAATATATTTAAAAACAATTATTTTGTTCTCTATGAGACCGAACCGATCAAATGTTATGTATAATTTGTAATATATTTTTTTCAGAAGCAAACATTAAAAATATAAAATATAATTTAGAGTCGATATCCATGACGAGTCATTGCTCTCTTTTCCTAAATTACTCTGATACTATATGCCAGTGATAAAACGCATGCAACGTTAAATCAGTAAACACCAAGGAAATGCAATATATAATAATGCAATCTCATCGAAGCATTATTTCACGTTCATACAGACTGACAGAGTGCTGGGACAGGTATCGTTTGTAATTCCCCAAGAACGTTTAGACGTAGATTTAACATATGCATACGTATATGCCGAATACGTTTCAAAACCATTTTAGTCTGAATTAAAAAGGCATGGAAACGTGAAAGAGATACAGAGCAAGGAAAAACGACGGCGAAAGAGATGAGAAAAGAAGGTAAAAACCGGCAGAATGGCGGAAAAGGAGGATCGGCCCGAAAGGCAAGGATAGAACCAGAACAAAAGAGACAGAGACAGAGCGAGAAAGAGAGCAGTCTTACACACGTTCGCATTCAGTCTGCCCGCGGCGTTCGAGTTAGTCGTATTCAGTTGCTTGTTTTCAGTCTTTATTCCTCCATTTTTATATCAATAATCGGTTGTTGTCGTTTTAAACGAGAATGAGCGATGCAGTGGACGCGAAACGCGACAACTTTCGGTGCGATATCTCCCTATAAGGAAATACAAAACGATGTAATCTCAGAAGCGCGTGACCTACGAAGTCGTATAAAAGTCCGTCACTAGGTAAGAGAATTCATTAATCTCGATGTTATTTTTTCTTAATTATACTAGTATATCTTGCTTGTGGTTAACATCGGTTGCGAACTCGATTCGAAAAAATAATGCGGGGAATCCCCGCGTCCTCGACTCGGAAATAGGCAAAAGTTATGTAAAATCTCGTTCAATGAAATAATCTTATTAGACTGACACTTGCTTTCGAGATAAGGACATAATATAAATTATCGCTAAAATGAAATTCCTATATCGATGTTTTCCTATCCAAGATCTTAAAGACGCAGCGTCGATAAGTTTATGGTTGACCCTCGCGTGCACATTTGAAATCGTAGAAATATCTAATATTAATACTCGTAATTGGATGTATTCCACATCTTAATATCACAGTGAAACGCATAGAAATTTATACCTCATGTGCAACGTGATACAATAATGAATACATTATCCCGATTATTTGATATCGATTGTAAACGATGGTCAGGGTGATTGGCGCGTTATGAAGCTTCGATTTTTAGCATATAAAATACCACGAGATTTCAAGAAAAACGAACCGCGATTCACACTCGACTCATCCGTTAAAGCTTTCGACAAATACATCGTTGTTAAATTAGCGAACTCGAAGCAGAGAGTGCTGGTCGTGAACATTGTGTATCGCACGCGTAGAGCGACGGTAGTTATTTGTGATTGCAATTAAGACTCGTTGGACTGTAGATTGCGGGTACGTGAGTCAAGGAGTTACGTCTTAATGAGTTAACGCGTAGAAGTTCGGAGCATATGTGGATGTTTAATGTGCTGGTTAACGTTTGCCATCCAGTAGCAAGGACAAGCCAATTTATTGCTTCAATGATATGATCGCCGCGCTAAATTGAGTAAATCGGAAACAGTTCTAATTAACAGCCGACCTAATGTATGCAAACTGTTTATCTTCAGAAGGAAAACGCGACAGAAAACGGACAGCGTTTCCATCTCCGTTAATTAAAACGTTCTGGTTCATTTGAGACGCGGGTCGCTTCACTTTACCTCGTTGGCATTCATACGTTTAGCATTACGTAATAATCTCTTTAGCGGTTAATCGTGTTATAACTTTCCGTAGGTGTTTCGTGAACTTGTCCTCGTTGGAAATCGAACATTATACAATAATCGCGTCTCCCGTTCTCCGTGTCCTCATCTTCAATTTCTTTCACAGTTACACGTTCCATTTAAATGAGATTATTCCAAAACCATTCCAACATTCATACCATTTTCTGCAATTTATTTAGGTAAAAGAAAAGTCGAACTTTCGAAGGAAATATTGCATTGTTGTAACAACGATTGAAATTAAAAATCGTCAAATGGATGAGTCGACGAGTAGTAGTGACAAGAGACAACCCATCGAAGTAAACCCAGAGCAGAAGAGGGCTACGTATCTAAAAGTGACCAATTACACAACGTCTAAGGACGCCGATTTATCAAGAATACCAAAACGAAAATTGTCCGTGTTTTATCGTTCGTACGACGTGATCGCTCAGATCGTTCAGGAAAAGGAGAAAGAGACGCACGATTTTCGACGAACATCTAGCAGTCCATCCGTTCGAATCGAACGGACGCAAGAGAATATCGATTCGAAGAACGATGAAATTGATCAGCAAACGTGCTTGCACAAAAGAGCCTTCGTCAACAACTATCGTTCGTTGATCGAGAGTGGGAAATTCTGGAGCAGCTTTTCGCCGGATCATCTTAGTGAAAAATCTTCGTCGAATAACGCTCAAGTTTCGAAAGTTGTATCGTTATCCCAGACGGCGCTCAAGCTGCCTCAAGTTCGAGAGGACACTATCGTTGATAATTATGCGACGATTTCCGAGACTTCAATCGGGAAACATTATAAGTTGAATAATAATGGAAATGATGGGCTCAAAGTAAGCTGTAACAGTGACACTCTTAAACCGACCAATTAACTCTTAACGGCTCCGATGCTATTTTTCAAAGAAGAGATATTTCAGTCCGGTTGTTTTTGCGAGAAACTAAATCTTTGATACGAATCACGGATTGAATTAATTTCGTTGAAACTCGATGGATCTACCGCATCGAAAATATTTTCTTTAGGAATATTCTAGACTCGGCGAAGAGTGAATTCAGAGATATTCCATTTCGAGGTCGCGGAATTAAAATTTTCTTATACAGATTGATTCCAAGAGTTGGAATAACCGACGGTTCTGCAATATTCCCTACAGCAATCGATTAATGCGAGACAACGATAATATAATTTCTCCGCAAAAATACAGTTAACTTCGATACAGTTAACAATTTTTAAAAGGTCTTGCATTTATGTATTTAAGGATACGTAAAAAATTACGAAATTTGTGTCATTCTCATGTATCCTTATTTAAACAGCAAAAAGATAGGAAAAAAGATAGATTCTTGACCTAGTTTCTAGCATCATCCTGAATACCACAGAAGAACTCTTCATTGCAGTGACACTCGGTTTATCAGGCGTCTAGGACGTTTCAGAGTTAGATCCAATGCTGGACCGTTAAGAGTTACAAATAATTTTCACACTCTTAACGATTGTTATCTTTCGATCAGGCTGCTGATGAAAATGTCGCAACTGATTCGCGCCAAACGAATTCGTCGCCGGACCTGACCAACGTCGTTCCATCGTCGTTCGTCGAGAAAAAGATTGAAAACTGCAAAACGAGCCACTCCACCAATGGGACGATCCAATTCCAGCGTGGAAATTCACCGCATACGCATTCAATCTGTTCGCAAGCCACTACGTGTACCGGTAAACCCGCCGTACAGCTCGATCGAGCTAAAAAAACTAAAAATATAATAAAATGTATATTGTTGGAGATCTATCCTCTCTGATTCGCAGATCTGGTTAAGATCAAAGATTCGGAGTATCCCCGCTCGTTTGTGAGCACGTCGAGTCCCGGTCGTCTTGGGAAGTATACATCAGTCGATGCCGAAATGTCGAGTCACGAGGATAGCTCAATGGGTTCCGATAGCGAGGACGATTCAATCGAACGGACCATGCACGCGGCAATGTGTATGCACGAAGAGACGAAGATTGAGAGGCCTCGGTCGAAGAGTATCAGTCCGTTATCATCGCAGCCCTCGTCGTCTTTTTCGATGGGTGAACCCTCGAGGGAACCAGATTCGAGAGAAAACGGAAGAGGAAACGAGCAAGAGGAAACGGAAGATCTTGCGGAATTTAATTCGAAACGAGAGGAGAGACAAGTTGGTAATCCTTTTAAAATGTCATCTATCCTTTTTACCGTTATATATATATATATTTGCAGAATCATACACGATAGTATTATTAAACGTATTTTTTGGTTGTATCTGTAAATGTGTTAACACGTCCTTATTTTTGTCATTAGAATGATATATCGCGAGGCAGTTCCGGTCTTAGAATAATCTAATCTATGAAGAGAAAGAAAGAAGAATGATAAACCTGCTGGTATTTGCAATGTAGACCTTTGACATTGCCAGACATTCTAAATATTATATCTACGTGAATCGTAACCGTACCACATGGTCGCATTACATCTGGCGATCTATTCCGTTGGATAGGAAAAATAATATTTGCTCTAGAAGCAACCCGGACGGCCAAACGTCAGGCATATATAACGATCCAGGAAATTTGAAATAAATCGTACGGACGCCTTTGCTGAAATTCCCTTTCGGTTTTGATCGCGTAATGAGATATTTATAGAGAACCAAAAAACGCCGAAAACTCCGTTTGTTTAGGGAATGGAAAACATTCTTCGTAAATACATGTATCGGTAGTTGTAAGGAAAAACGCCTCGTGTCACATATTTTCACTTTCGAAATATTATTATTTAAAGTTATAAACATCCATTCTTTTTATTAGCATTCGGTTAAATGTCACAATTTTTTTCAAGATATAAGATTCAGTTTTAACCATTTTCTTTTCTGATAAATCCCGTAAATCATATATTTTACAAATAAACAAACGAATAAATTAGAATTGTTTTAAATTGTGATACGCAGGCTTTTTCTTACGACCACAGATACATGTATCATTCTGTATTACCTGCCGCAGAGATATTTCACCGCAAGGAGATCCTTGTCCGAGGGTGACTGTGAGCGATACCATCGAACTAGACGTCGTTGCAAATGCGTCAAAGAGGAAGAATCGCTTGATGAACAGGAACGACTTCCAGCATTTCCTAGTTTTAATGACACCAGGTTACAAGTTATGGGATTATCGTGCTCGAAGGATATAGATAGCGTGCACAGGTACAAGTCAAATTATTATTTTTTTCAATTTATTAGGATATATGTTATTTTCCAGATCTCAATTAATTCTATTTTTCTGTTATTTATTTTAGGGAAAATATACCAGAAAACGAGCTGGAGGTTAATAAATTGTCTAATATATGTAACGTTATGAGCAACACTTAGAATTTATATTTTTTCTGAATAAATATTAATCTTTTTCTTAATTGCAGCGCAAATATATAGCGTTTTCGATAGGAGTTAGTACGGACAGGATCACCCTACATCGCAGAATGGCATTGTCTCTTCGCCAAAGGGATCAGTCGGAGCGAAATTTTATGAACGAAATACAAAAAATTCAAGACGATATAAAGGTGATTATAACGTTGCTATTTTCCTAAAACTTGAATCATTTATAAATTATTTCTAGGTATGAATTACGTTTTCCTGAAAGAAAGAAATTTGTTTGCCATTTGTCTAAAAAATATTATTTATGGGAAAATTAATAACTATTGATGTTATCTATTGTTTTTCATTAATAGGGTCTATGTCCGCTTTGTACGGATCAAGAATCGATAGACAAAGTAGAGAATGTTCGTCATCGATTAGACATGATAGCACGATCTGCTCATAGAGTTTCTTGTGCCGCCGAAACACTCGGAGCAGTATACCAGGAGCACAGAATATCTAAAGCGATTTTTATAGCTGACAAATATTTGCAATTATTACGATCCAGATGTGAAAACTTGGTAACAGATATTGCAGAAATTAAGTAAGTAGTTTCTTAAAAATTTTCTTTTTTATTTGTTTTATTACGTATTTTGTATAATAATAGTTTCTTTTTAAATAATACATAGTCTTAAAAAAAATAAAATATTATAAATAAAATATTATTAAATATAAATAAAAAATTAACAATAATAAAAAATATAATTTTTTTATTCTTCGAGGTGATTTATTTTTATTTAGACATAATTAACTTTTAAAATTATTTTCTAGACAAATATTATTAAAAAATAACATTATGATAGAAGAAAATTCTGGAGAGGCAGGAGACGATTTACCTAAAATTCGGTATAGAAATGGGCTACCCTCTAATAATCGAACAATGGTTCGTCAATTTCTAATACATAAACTGATAATAAATTTATCAATTGTATGTGTTCGCAATTGGTCAGTTAATTCCTTCTTGATTGATTTTCATTTGCAGATGACTAGAAGAAGAGCAAGCATTGCTACAATTTCACGACCCTTGAGTTCACAAGATATGATAAAGGCAATATTTTTTATCATATTGATATCTTTTGATATAGTATTATTCGAATTATCATATATTTTATATAAAAATTATAAAAAACTATACTTTAAAACAAATTTATATTCTTTTCACATTTAGGAAGTTTCTAGACAGCGTAACTCTGTTTCCGGGAGAGTTACTTTAAGACGGCCGTCATTATGCTTCGAATCGCAAAGATGGGAAAACGAAAAATTAAATCTAACGGAGTTCGTACTGTTTTCTTATTTTTACAAAAAGACATTAAAAAAAGAACACAAACTGATGTTTCTGTATTTCAGCAGTGCGAATAGCGTCGTTGAATTACGTGATATATTTGAACATACTGAATCACGAAGAAACTCCATTGAAGAAAATAATAATCTTTTAAGAAATGATCAAAGTAATAATCTTAACAGCACGATTTGTGATATTATTAGTAATATAAAAGATAAAGATCGATTAATTACCAAACAAAATTCGTTCATGGAATCAAGTGTAACTAAAACTGTTGAAAAGCAGCTAAAATCATGGTAAATTACTTATCTGATAAAAAGTAATATAATTAATAAGGAATAAATAAAACATATAATTCATATAAAGACATTAAAGAAAACATAAAAAAAAAAAAAAACAAATGACTGGAAATTTATTTTTTATTTTCAGTATACGAACGGCTGAACCTTTGCGAATAACTAGGAACATTGAAACTTGGCGGCCAATATTGTGGTTTATGTTCATATTTTTTCTCGGATTTTATGCAAAACAAATTACTTCAACATTTATTACGTAATGTATTAAAAGATTTCGTTAGTAAGATTTAGCGTTTTTGTGTTACGGTGTTGCAGTATTAAAAAAGTTTTGTCCAATGTAATAGTAATTACAAGGAAAAATAATAAAAGACCTAATTTACAAATATATCCTATTTAATTTTTTGTTCATATATTACAAATTATCCACTGTTCCAATGCACACGAGCGAGTTATTTTTATTATAATAACGTAAAGAAAGAATACTCGAGCAGTAAGTTGAGTATATTTGTGGTGATTCTGTTTCAGGTACTAGATTTGATGAATTGCTGTAAAATAATATAATTAAAATACTATATTATATAAGTTTATTAAAAGTACGTCTTTTCAATTTGAAACCTTGAAAATTACCTATTAACAGTTTTAATATGATCATGCGTAGGCCACAAACGAATAGTGCCATCTAAACTTCCACTAGCAATGTACTGACCATCAAAACTCCAATCTAAATTCATAATCGTATCTTCGTGGCCTTTAAGTTGAGTCAACAATGCATTAGTTGCTAAGTCCCAAACAGAGATGAATTTGTCATCGCCTAAAATACAGTTTTAATTATTGAAATTAGTAAACTGTTTAAAATGGTAAATTGGTAAATTAATAAATTAGTAAACTGTCTTACCTGCAGTAGCCAAGTATTTTCCATCCGGACTGAAAGCTAAACTATAAATCGTTGATTGCGCTCCGATATATACTCTTAATAAATTTCCGTCGTCTTTATCCCATAATCTAACAGTCTTATCAGCAGATCCAGTTGCTAAATATCGAGCGTTTGGATGAAATTTTACACACTATAGAGCAATATGATATATAGTAAAATTAATTTTGTACATGTAAAATAAAATATTTTTTTCTTTACATAAAATACATACATTTATATCTAAAAAATGACCAGCAAATATGCGCAATGGAAATACCCTATCTAAGGACCATAATTTAGCTGTTTTATCATGAGAACCAGTTGCTACATACAGATTAAATACACTAAGATCCATGCACCATATAGGATAATTATGACCACTGTAACAAATTACTTTTTAATGATAGATATGATTTCATAATATAAAATATTTGAACAAAATTAATATAAATACTTACCTATAAATTGCAGCACACGTGTAATCATTAAGTCTCCATGCCCGCATATCTTTATCACTGGATACAGAAAGTAATATTTCAGATTCTGGAATAAACCTTAAATCATGTACAATATCTGTATGACCCCTAAGTATCACTGCACCTCCTTCAGTCCTTAAAATAAGATAAAAGAATGTATAATTTCTCATTGATAGACTTAAACTAATTGAAATATTATAGTATATTAAAATTTAAGTAAATTATATAACTAAAATCATAGAAACTTACATCCTGTCCGATGTTTCATAAAATTTATGTAAAAATGGAATATCCGAGGCAAACGTAAAGGAAGGTTCTTCATACTTTGGCTTAATTAATACTGTTTCATTTATACCCCACAACCTAATCTCTGTAGTACTAAATCCTACTGCTAATTTATCCATATTAGGTGGAATTACACCACTACTTGCACTATAAAAATAAATATCTTACATGAATTTTACAACTTTCTAATATTTATTATATTGGTCTCTAGCAAAATAAATTTTTCATAAAGTAAATCCCAATTTATATATAGTTACTTCTCAACAGCATTATTTACTGCAAATATTCGTAGAGGTTGATGAGCATTATGTCTAATTAATCTTATAGCCTCTTGTAGTTCTCTCATTTCACGGTCAGCTCCAGTACCAGATGGTTGTTCTACATATCCATTAATTCCTATTTCAGAGCGTGAACCTGTTTCTTCACATCCTTCTATATCTGTTTCTGGCACTTCCATCTTTTTAATTATTGTCACATGGGTGTTTATTATCTAAAAATAAAGAATCATCCATTATGGAGTGAAATTAGTATTTCAAAAGAAATTATATTATATTAGACATTACATATTGATTATAAAATTAATTTTTATTACCTGCATTAATATTATATGTCCATGTTTTGAGAGAAATTGTTGAAGACATAAATGAGCAACATCTGACATGTCCACTTTATATTTTCTAGTTCTAAATGAATTCACTAAAGGTCTTAATTCAATATCTTGTACTGAAAACACACTGGATAGTTCTTCTAAAAAGTCTTTTTCTGTTTCACTGTTGAATTCACTTTGATGTGATTTTAGAAACTGAATTGCTGCTTGCCTGTTACCAGCATGTAGCATCTCTAAATACAAGTGACAAAATACAGGGTATAGAAGCCCTTTTAATTCCATTTTTAATTTATCATCGAGTGCAATATTTACCCACATCTTTAACCTAAAGAAGATACATATTTTTAAAATAAAATAAATAAAAATTGCATATAATCATTTAATATACTGCAACAGTCTTAAAAAGTTTATGATAACAGAAACATACCGTTGATATGCTTGATCTGCAGCAGCAACATCAATGCTAATGGCACTAAAAATGATGGAATTATCTTGAGATGTGGCAGAAGCAGCAGTTGCATTTAGAGTCATTTCATCACTTGTTCGACAATGTATTTGATTGCCTTTACAGAAAATGTCGTTGGTCTATAATAGATATTTAAAAGTAATAAGAGGTTATGTCACGTTTATTAATTTTAATTCAATCTTGAATTAAATTTGTAAAATAAAAATAAGAACGTAACCTGCCTGATAATGACGTCGTTTTAAATATGATTCAATTGTAGCATTAATTAATTCGCTCTTTAAACGTTTCATCTCCTTCAAATTACACGTTGGTTATATTGAAAAGATTGAAAAGATCTAACTATAAGACGACAAATAATAAAAAATTGTTAAAAGTACATTGTTTCAATAATTACTTAAAAAAATGAATCGAATGTAAATAGTATTCATATTTTGTCAACAATTAATAAAATGGACATCAAGTTTAAATAACCGCTACTGTTAGATATATTTTCATCAATGAAGTAAATTAAGATTTGAATAAAATTTCAACCAGTAATATTCGGCGTATTGTTTTCATTACTAATATTTTTTAAACTTTCATATTTTATTCAATATTGTTTGTAACATATAAATCTATAAACAAATAGTTGCCGCTCGACAGTCATCCTGAAAATACACACCAAAACATATCTTTCCCCTAGGAATGTAGTTCTTATTTCTGTATTACTAGAGTATAAATTTCTAATTCATGCATAGATACTAAATTTTCTATAGATACTTAATGAATTAAAGTATTATATTTCTTGTATATAAACTTACATTTGTGCATAAAACTTTGGAAATATTAAACCGCAAATAACAAGGTATAGAGACATTTAATATTTCAATCAATTTAACTAGGAATAATTAAATTACGACTAGGAATAAAAATCAGCATTAAAAATAATTTAAATATTTATTTATAAAACTCTGATTTTACATAATGTAAATTCTGCTTTATAAGATTTTCCTCCTGATTTGTAAATGGTACAATTGCATTTGAGTCCAATGTTGATCTAAGAAAAATGTATATATTACATAAATTACTAATGCATTAATATTGAAATCGAATGTAGAAAAATATACAATAACCATATCTTCATCTTTAAACTTACAAATGGGAACACAGCAAATTTAAATCCTGAGGTATAAAGTACCGCATATAGGAAGATAAGTGGACAAATGGATCATTGTCATTTTCAAAATTTTCAAAGCCTTTTAATCTGTGAAATAAAAAACTTCAATCCAAATGAAGATAGTAAATATAAAATTCATACTAACCGTACAATAAAATGTTTAGGTTGATACAATGACGATTGTTCAATATTACGTTTAGATAAACTAAATACGGTGGGAAATACTACATCACGAAAATCGCCAATTTTTATGAAACTATATTGCTCCGAATTTTTAAGAAAATCATTTTTGTTAAATTTTTGTCTAATTAACGAACGCATTATTGGAGTATCTATCCAAACAACGCGGCATTCTTTATGAAGCATTTCCGCAAACCAATCAAACGCACCAATCTCAGCCACATAATTCCATTCTATCCCATCATACCAATCATGTACCTATATAATATAAAAAATATTATATTCAGTATTACATTTTAAAAAAAGCATATTCTTAATCATACCAAATTATTAATCTTCGTCTTAAAAATTTATTATAATATTTATTTTTTGGTATAAATAAAAAATAAAATGTTTACATATGTATACTTTTTAATTTTGTAGTTTTTTCAAAATTGTATAATATTATAAATAACTTACAACACACTGGCAAACTCGACTAAGTATTCCGCGAAAATCTGCCATTAATGCCATAAATGATTCAGGGCCTTTAGGATATAGCAATATGATGTCGGTATTTATATTTACTTTTTTCGTAATGTCTTTTAAAGTATGAATATTTGATTTTTTATATTTAACTTCATTAGTTTCAATAATATTACCATTGAAAATATTTATATAAAAGTTTTTCCCTTGTACATTACAAATACATATGAGGTAAATAAGATATATAATTCCAGTAATTGCAAATATAGTTAATGTAATAATAATAATTGGTAAGTATAGGTAAGAAACTGTGTCAGGATTAGTATTAGCTGGAATTGCAAAATTGTAAGGAGTAATATTTTGACAACCTGTGGACAAAAGTTTAATTATTATCTTATAATAATCAAATAAGTAAAGTTATTATCTAAATTCAAGCAAAAAGTTATAAATATCTTCTTTGTAGCTAAAACTAAAATATTAAAAAAAGAATCTAAATATGATCTTCAGAATATTAATAATATTGATAAATATCAAGTACTGAATATAAATTTTCTTACTTTGGTACCAAATACAATCATGAAGTGGTTTCCATAATGTACGTCTTATGCATCTTGTATCATAAAAAGATATTGAAATACAATAATTTACCTCTTGCAAACTCTCAGCTTCAAATTTTATATCATTTTTATATATATCATTTGTTAACTAATCATCAAATAATGAATTCAAATGAAATAAAATGTATATTATGATATAACTTAGAAATATTAAACATAAAACTTACTAAAGTTGTATTCAGATTATGATGTTCACCATCTAAATAGTTGTTCTAAAAATCAGGTATCAATTTTATAACAGAAGTTCATTTATGTCTATTATATCATAAAAATTACCAAGTATATTAATCAAATTATACTTATATACAAAATTCTAAATATCTAATCGTTATATGCATATTTCAAATAATATTTGGGCAAAAATTATATTATAATTATAAGAAATGTTAACAATAAATATTATAAATTATAACATAAAAATGTTACCAAAATATCAAAATTCCAGGTACCATATGAAAAGTCTTCATTATTAATGAAACATGTTTCACTTCCATGTGAATTAGCCACTGTTCCTAACTTTATCATTCCAGCTATAACCATAGGTACAGAAAAGTATATTTTAAAATATACTAGCTTGTTACTAAAATATTAAAACAAAATTCTATTTATACTGTTTAATAGATCAAACAAAATAAAATAAAAACAAATTTTTAAATAGATAGTAAACAAACAATAATAATATAAACATACTTTTCTATATCAGGTACAATATTATACTCATATGTACATTCAACTTTTGGTTCTATGATTTCTGTTCGTTTGTAATTGGTTTTTAAGAATTTATTATCTTTTATCATTTTTATATCTCCAAAATAAAATTGAATAGAATAACATGCTGTAAATATATATGGAATAAATATTCCAGTAGTATTCTAGAAAAGCATTAACAATATTAAATCATTTAAAAAATTATTAATTTTATAGAAAAATAAAACAAAGTAATTACCTGGTATTGTTTGTCATTTGAAACAAAACATATGGTACTTTTAGTATGTTGTTCACTTCCATTAGAGTTATGAAATTTATAATTTCTACATTTTTCTTTATTGATTGATTCATTTGCTAATAAAGTCAGAATATACTTGCATGCATTTTTTGGTGGCTTAAGATTAATTTGCACAACAGCTGTGAAGGATAAAATATGATGATAAAAATTTTGTTGTTATGTAGTGCAAAAGAATTATATATATATTTAGAATTTCAATAACTTCAATTTTTCTAAATTTACTTGTATTGTAATATTATACCTAATTATTTCTTTTGTAACATTTAGTAGAAGTATTATTATTTACCGGGAAATTTGGAAGTTTCATTTTTATTTTCTATTATTGAGAAATTAACATCAGTAAAAACATCTTCACTTGAACAAAACTTTATAGAAGAAATATCATTATTATAATTATTTGTGGGTGTATTGCAACCATTAGTATCACAGATATACTGCAAATAATAAAGATTTAAACAAAATAAAATAAATGAGTCCCTATTTTTGAGAATTATACTAATCAATGAAATAATACGTAAAAATAGCAATATATGTATATCAGATATAAAATTTAGATACTTATTATTTTTCTTTTAATTTAATACTCACATTGTATTCACTATCATCCAAAATAGATGAACATACGGATACAAACAAGAATATAATTGTCATATAACCTTTAAGCATAACTGAATTATACTTTAACAAAAATTATATTACATTAAAAATTGTATAAAAAATTAACTTTATGCTTAAACTTTTAAATTTCCCACGAATTTTTCATGTTTATTTACAAAGGTAATTGTAATTTTTTTGTTTGAAAGATGTTAACACACATAGTTTACCACTAATAACGTTATTTTCTGCGATACGCACTTTTTGGCGTAACATATTCAATGTCGCATTTAACTGTGTGTGACAGAAAAATGCAGGAATGGTATAGTGACAATCTTTAAAAATAAAGCGAATTCGTATGTATGCATGCGCACATACACATACGAGCGCCATTCGACAGCACATTTTTAAATTGAATAGATAGTGATTAATAAACAGATTAGTTGTAATGAGTAATGTTTAAACTGCTAATATTTGCATAGACAAAAAAGTTAATAAAAGTATAAATGAATTCATAATTTTTAAAAGGTAAAATAGATAAATTTTTGTACCTATAAATGCAAAAAAATTTTATATTTAATTTGACATTTCTAAAAATTATAATACTTCTAATAAACAAAGGAAAAAAAAGAAAGAAACTGAAAAGTGTTTAAAATACTTGCAAAAACTCATTATTATTGTTTCCATATTTTACTGATTTTTATAAGCAGTTATTACATAAATTTTGAATTTTCGTATTGTAAATTAATTTTATATGCGTAAAAAAGATAAATGAAATATCTATTACAATGAAATAAATTATAAGCACACTAAACGCCAATGTATATGAGTGTATCTTATGGAACCACATATATGTACTATATGAGCGTGCGTATTAATAACGCAGTTGTCTCAAAGTTATATACATTTTCTAATACTTGTGATCATAAGTGTATTTATAATAAATATTACATAATTATATTTTTATACGTAATTAACGAATTAAATTCGTTACACGAAATAATAATGTTATGCAAAAAAATCACAACTTAAAAAGTTTAAGGAGCATACTTCAATTATATGCTTTATAGTTTGTTTCTTTTTAGGGAGAAAAATAACATGATAAACTTATAAAACTTATAGAATGTACGAAGTAATCAAAAAACAAATTATTGCAAACAGAATTATCTGTATATACTTTTCACAGCCTATCTTACTGCAAATTTCTTCTTATCTTTTTTCCAAAAATAACGGATCGATACTGCTGTCAAATAAACAAACGTGTCATGTGTCATTATGTACGAAGTAAAATATAATGAATATTCTGTTAATAAAACTTACACGCTATAATAAAAATTATAGAAAACATGAAGATTTAATACTAACAAAAAATATTTGTCGCGTGTAAACTAGTTCCTAAAATCGAGCTAAAAATTTAATCGCGTTATTTTCGCTATTGGCGAGCGATTAATCCAGGTTCATAGGAAATTTGAACTTCATAAACAAGCCTTTCGTCAGATTTTAAATCTTCTTCGTATGAAAAAATAAATCATGTTTAGTATATACTACATACGAAGAATTCTAAAATATTCATAAGCTAGCAATATAAACCGTTTCCTTGATTCTCGATCACATATTTTTGTAAATACTGTACAGCTTTTTCGTTTAAACCAAGGTTAGGTAACTCATTCTTAAACTGTTCGATTGTTCCAGCACCAGCGATATAACCATTTAATTTCGCAGCTACAGGTGAATTTCGGAGAACTTCATCGTTGGTGAGACCGGTAGTTTCAATTAACCATGGATGATTTCGAAGTCGATACTTTTGATGATAACTGAAAAGTTAATAACAAATAATGTAAAAATAATAAAAATCATTCGTCTATTTTAATTCTTCGGAAATAATTGGAAATAAAATTTAGCGATATATTTATTCTTTATTTAATTCACAATAGGTAATACTATTTCAATAGTTATTGTTATTTATATATTAGTGTAAATTGAAATAGAAGCATATATCAATATAAAATTAATTTTGTCTATATCTGTCTATAAAAAATATTTTTACATATTTATAACGCATAATACTTACTTTTCTGCTGGATAAAACTTTTCGAATTTTCTAATCTCAGTGAGTATCGAGCCTGTACGCTTATGCTGCTCTTGTTCACGTGACTTTTCAGCTAGCAACTTTTGTTCTTCATCATGATATAAAATCAGTGACATGTACTGAAATCAGTAACAAAAATGTAATTTTTTTGTTTAACCATAATCAAAATAAAAAAAACAGATCTACAATGAGAGCCAATTATATTTACCTGTCTCTTAATTTTAGTAGTAAGGCCATATTCATGATTTTGCCAAAACAAGGCAAGTAATTGTGAATAAGATATTACATCTGGATTATACTCGATATCGACGACTTCTGTATGGTCGCCACTATAATAAGAATAGAAAAAATGACCAAATTACAGACATAATTGGGAAAGTAATCAAGAAAAACAAAATAAAAATTAAACAAGAACGTACATGCTTCTATATGTTGGTGATTCTTTTTGTCCACCAGCATACCCAACGCAGGTCCTGATTACACCGGGTAAGACGCCAAAAAGACAATCACCCGCCCAGAAACATCCCATTCCAAATGTTGCGCGTTTTGCTTGAATTTCATCCAATTGTCCTGGCATCTTATTCGACTATTACCATCAAGATACGTCGAAGTACGCAAAACATAAAAAAGAAATATATATTTAATACAGTTACAAGTATGATAGCTGAAATTGAATGAATTAGATCATAACATCTATGCAAAGAATATAAGTGAAAATAATTCGATCCACGTATTATGATAATGTTATTTTGATCTGATCCGATAAAGAAATGTGAAACCTGTTAAGTAACGGTTACACTGAAAATGATCGAAGTGATTAAATTATACTAGTTCCCTATTGAAAATTCTATTGAACATAATATTTTCTTTCCATTTTTATACAGCATAGTAATTTACCGCTCTAAAATTTTTCCATTATTAATAATCTGAAATAGCGAAGAAAATGATTTTAAATGTGAAAATAAAATCACTGCAAGTATTTTGTAGTACAAAAATGTTTGTATACGTTTGCCGAGAGATATATGCATTATTTATGTAAAAAAATGATCTCATCGCTGTTTATTGATCCCGCATTTGCATGTTAAGAAATGGTCTTTTTACGGCACCCGTTGTGTGTAAATTACAGATCTGATGCATGTACAAAAGAAGTGCAGAGTAATATACAGGGTGAACCACATAATTTGCTCACTTTTATTATTTTCGTTTTTAATTAAACTGCTTTGAAATATGTCATTTCGTATTACCACTATTTTCAAACCTAAAGTTTCTTTTCAATTTTCAAATATAAAATTATTTTTTCCTATGATAAAAATCATATAAATTAAGTCTTTAACTCTTATTTTCAAAATTATGAACAAATGTGTAAATTATGAACTTTCATACTTTTATACTTTTCTAACTATCTTCATACATCAGAGTCAGAGGTACAAAAGAGTACTTGAAAATTTATCGATCAATCTTACAAGATACTTAAAATTCTATTCATCAACTTCAATATACTTGAACGAAGAATGTGCGTCTAGTTCAATCACATTAACACGGTAATACGTAACTGAAGATAGATCTATTACGTGACATCGTTAAATATTTTTCGGCGGAATACTTCTATGAATTTCATCGTCTTACAAGATAAAATTATAAAAGTATTATATCTATTATAACTTCCTATTCTATCCTTTTATTGCATTTAATACGTATAATTTACAAAAATATCTTTAGAACTTGTTCTATATTCCAACAAAATTTAGTGAAATAAATCATTTATAAAAAAAAAAAAAAAAGTAAAAATTACACGTAGGATATAACACAATCACGTTACGACTTTTTGGTACAAGTAAAATACAAAGCATAAAATGACTTAGATTGTTCCGTAATTGACAGAAGCAATTCAGATGATTTAGTTACTTGGTTCACTTTGTACAAAAGGCGATGGGGCAAGATACGCTGTAAATTTAAATTTATAACAACGTCAATTTGAGAAATTGAAAAATTGTTAATCATAAAAAGATAGAATGAACTCTAAATTAATTTAATGCATTAACTTCTTTACTTTCTTAATCTCTAAAATTTTGGTTTTAATAATGATTTGATTCTAATATTTATTAATATCAAATGCATTATTAGAAAAATATATTGTTAAAATACTTCATGCAATATTTTAACCAAAATATAAGTAACATCTTTTCGGTTTAGTATAAACGTTACACAAAAATGAATTAAAAATAAAATTAATCGATTTCAAATGATTCTAATAAAATTATTTACCTGGTTCTGTGATAGAAAAAGAAAAGGATTAAAAAAGTAAACGAAGAAATAGAAATATAAGTATCGGTTCACTCCAAAGTTAGAAGGAGATATCCTGTTCGACACTGAAAGAACACAAGAAAACTACCGCGTGCTTTGGCAGCTCTACTTTTTATCTATGCTGTCCCTCCTCTTTCTCTTTTTCCCACTCCGCGGTATAAGCTACCACCACTCTTCCTTACAAATCATTGCTTTTCTTTCATACTTAATACGTTCCAATCTTCAATTAAATTTACCAATTCTGTTACTTTAGTATTTTCACTTACACCTTCCACTATTGTACTCATTATTTGATAGTTAAAATTATTATACTCACAATATCATAGAGAACTTTCTAATGGTAAATGTTACTTATACTTATCGTATTTGTTTAGTATTTTAATATTTAAACAATATTGTAATTTTTTTAGTTATAACATTTATAAACAGTTTAATAAAATACTAGTACAAAATTTCTTAACAAATTAAATCATAATGTCATTATCTTAAAATTAAAACGTGTGCAATTTAAAATATCGGCCCAAAGAATGTAGCTAAAAATATCGATATTAACCTCTCCTGCAAGATACTGTATCATTAATCGATGTCAAATCTCGTTGTATATAGAGTATGCTAATTGTCAATTTAAATAGAGTTCGATAAGTGCTTCGTATATGTTGCATCAGAAAATTGAAATCACATGTATTCGTTAAATTAGATAACAATTGCTGGACCGACTGATGTAATCATTCAACCCTACACACTAAGCTCAGTAGCTTGTCATCCACGGTTCAAAAAGAACAGTATTATCACGACATCGATTGTGCACAGAGGTTATTATCATGTCTTTTACTTCCTGTGTATTTAATACTTGCGTTTATACGTGGTATTTAATATAATTTGTTAATTTAGATATTTTTATTTAAACATAACAATATTGAGAAGTTTGACATTTTCATGTAAAGTTCATATAAACTAGATACACGTTTGATCATGCACCATTCTACAATTATGAAAATATCAGTTTTAATACCATAGTAAACTTAATCCAGAAACAACCTAGTTGTCAAATATCATAGAGTAGTGCAAAGTGATGATGACATACCAAGTAACGATAGTTGATTGCGGCTAAACTTCTGCGTAGCAAGAGGGTTAAATTTGGTGTCACCATCTTTGATAGATATGCCTATTGATAAGTATTCTGAAAGAAGAATCATTAATTCATTAATGTCAATAACAATAAAATTTAACTTATTTGTTTGTAATCAGTTTATAATTTTTTTCAACTTTATCATTCAATATTTTTTCATCTGGACAAAATAGAAATATTTTGTATGATTAGAAAAATTAATATTAAATGTGAAAGTGGTAGTAACATAAGTAAAGAAAAGATGATAAACTTTATTTATGTATTTACTTTTCTTCGTAGTTTCTGTTGTTAGGTCTTCTTAAAAAATGTAGCCAACTTTTAACTAACATAATCACGTGATTACCACGTTTAGCTATGAAAAATGTCAGGGAAAATTTCAAATCTTTTTAGAACTTATAAGATCGAGCGTATATAATTGAAACGTTTTAGGTAATACTTTTAAAATGAAACATTAAACTTTATTGTATCTCAAATTAATGTATTTCAATAACGAAATATAAATATTCTATTTAATCATAGTAAACAAATTTATTTCTTTTATTATTTATTTCGATATAAATACGTTTATTATATACGAAATTAATAAAAATATTTCTATGAAGCAGTATAATATGAATTTAATCAAAATTTAATTTTCCTATGTAAACTTAGCTATTAAACATATTTATTATAGCTTTAAAAGTATAACAAAAATAGTATATAAGTATATAAAAGAGGTATATAGAAATGTTGTTTTTGTAAATGTTATAAAAATAAAGGTATTAATTAGAATGTAAATTCTTGTTGAAATGCAAAACTGCAAATAAATATTTGAAGGATGTGAAATTATAGTTGATTAAGTACCATATAATTCATGATATATTTTTAAGAAAAAACACAGAATATACTATTGTAGAATAACGGCACACACCAAAATTTACAAATAAAAGTATTCGTAGAAATATGTATACTAAATGAATATAAAAAATATTATTTATAACTAACATTTTTATAAAAAACATGAGAAATATTCTGTACGATATCATACATAGTAGTCGCAAAAACGCATTTTTGCGCAATATACAATTCAATAATTATTGTGTGAAATATACATTACTATTACGCTGTAATAAATAAAATTCAAAACTTAACCATAAATTCAGTTAAAATTATCTTTTATATCGCAGTTACTTAAATATTTGCTTAAGTACAATACATATTAGAAATCTATATAATCTCGTATCTCGAATTCACAAGCGCATCATCTGATCAAGATCCACGCGATTTTCTTTTAAAATCGTACGTGATCGGCTCATAACAGCATTATGAGCTTAAAGTTTAAAGATGTATTAGACAACATTTAAAAATTAAGACCGAAACGAGCTAGTTTGCATCGTTATTTTAAAAAAGAATCTCATTCATTTGGTATAATTATCTACGAATTTCTATGAAAGAGATACATAGATTCGTAAGTACATGCTGGCAAAGGTACTAAAGTCGTAGAAAAAAGGAATAAATGGAATTGAATGTATTGTAAAGAAAAATGATGAAAAAGTAAGAAAAAATTACATGAGAGTACAGCAACTTTTTTCGGAATGATTATCACCGACAATATCGCTGGTATTTCCGGTGAATCGCTGAAAATCTCTGCCAGTGTTGAGTTCAGAATTGGAGATTGGCGACACAGGAATACCATTTCCATTGGCATCTATCGATCCAGCAGATATATGCCGATTCTGTGCCCTTTGTTTCTTCAAATCCGATAATGATTTGACAAAAACTACTGAGACGTGTATGTTGATCTTGCCGTTGGTGTCGCCGTCTGACGCGTAGATCGGTTGCTGATTACCGACCGGTGAGTCGGATCCTGTCACTATCGAGGCAAACATGTAAATCCAATGCTAGTTCTATTCACTGTGGTTCACGCGAAATTTGCTTTCCTTCCCTCTCATTCCATTCCATCTTGTGTTACCCTCCACCTAATTCCCTTTTCTATACACTGAAATGGCACTTCAAAAGAAACTCGACTAGTATGGAAACTAGCAGCCATGCGCTAAGCGGCACATGCTTTAGCAATAAGCATTAAAAACATTGCACGACGGAGCTCCAGAAACGTGTCCTCTATATTTTAAATAAACAATTTTTCTTTCATCTCCTACCTTTTATCGCATTTATTATCACGCTTTCAGATTTTTGGGGAAAAGAAGAAAGTTTTTCCTCTCTATCCCAATAAATGATTATAAATTACCTTTACTTCTTAATTTATCAGACTGTAAACTAAATCTTTAGATTTTTAAAAATTGTTTAAACTTGTCCAGACATATGTATTACATATAAATTTTGACTCGAAAAAATAAAAGATTTAATTTACAATTTGATAGTTGTATGCACTAACTTTTCTACAGAGAAATGTATGTACATACAAAGCAAGTAATAGTTGAATTCTCTGGAATACTAAAGTCACTTACTTAACATTTTCCTAGAAATATGAATTGATGTTGCCTGTAGCTGTGTCAATGTCCAAACATATTTTTCATTACAATAAATAAATGCCATTTCAAATCAATCAAATAAAATACAATAGAATTTATTAAAATATATTGATGAGGACTATAAATATTTCAATAATATTCTTATAAATCAAATTGTTTCTAAAAGGTAACAAATACATTATATAATATTAGATGTCAACATTTTATATCAACATCCTTATGATAATAATAAACTATTTTAATATTTATTAAAAAAGTTTAAAAATTTTGGATTGCATAATCTAATTTTGAATTAAAACAAATATAATGCTCAATATTGTTACATTTTATCAATATGATCAATTTGATATGGAATTTATAATAAAATTCCAGTAACAAATGTAAATGAAATATAATGTCATGACACAACTGACCTCGTAACGACTTTATCGTTCAGCGATAAAAGACGAGAAGACACATTACGCGAGTACGTAACTAACACTGAGTGAATACAGTTAATCATTAGATAGTTAATCATACAACTAGTTAGATGTGTGAGAAAGTTCTACTTCTATCTTGATTAACATTATTTTTTTATTGTTAATATACGAGTTTTTTACGTTATTGTGCAAACACTAAACCATAAAATATATACGCCGTAAAACTGTAAATAAAAAATGGTTTTTTATCAAAATAAAATTAATAAGAAATAAACAAATAAAAAAATTGAGTTACTTTAAATACTGATACTTGTAAATAGTAGTATTTGCTGTACTATTTACTGATCTTGATTGTTAATATTACAATATGAGTAAATAAGGAAAATGACAGAACTTTTCACAAACCTAATACATGATATATATATTTATATATATATTAATGCAAATCGATATGTTTAACATTTTATTTCACCAACCATTTTTTCTATGATATGTATATGTATGATTATTGATTATTGATACATTACAATATCGATTCAACTCTAGTTATTCTGTTTGGTAAAATATTAAATACCCATAACAACATTACCAAATGAAACTACACTTGTAACATTTTATTTACTTCATAAAGTAATTTTAAGAAAATGTTATGTTAAAAGTACATGATAGAGTTATCTTGATTCTACTTGTATATATAGCAAATATTAAATTACTTGTCTACTGTAGATGTGCGTTTAAGCTTAGAACATTCTAAACTGTATTAAATATAAAAACAACATTACAAGAACTTTTTAACTGGTAAACTTAATACAATATCTCCGCACTTAACAATCAATAAGCGTTGCCAAATGCTAAAATATTTGCAAAGATGTACTAAAAAAAAGCCAATGCAATTTAGCCCTTGCCACAAAAAATTTGATTCAAAGAAATATTTTTATGCTAAGAAGATATTATTAAAGAGAAAAACATATTATGTATACACAGCACATATAAAAATAATTCAACCTTTACGAGAGAAAATTTTGAAACGTACAATCATGTTAAGAAGTTAAAAAGTAATACAATGCTGTGTTCAAAAGTATGTTTAAAGAAATAAGAAAGTGACATAGAAAACTGACCTCGCAATTATTCAGGAGCATGACGCAGTAGTAACAGAAAAAAGAAAGGGCTGATAAATGATCAATGCTTCACATTTTTTTTACATAGTTTATAGTAAAAATTATTGTACCAATTTTTCATACTAACACAATAATAATGAGCCATCATTGTGGTTTTTAATTAGTTTCTTTGGATTAATAAAAATTTGTTAAGGACTAGTTTGAGAAATGCTTTGTTTTAAACATAATAAGCGCATGATAAATATAAAATTACAGTTACTATACAACGTTAACAAGGTCGAGTTATGCGACCAAACGCACAGTTCAAATGGACATGACACGTGACGTATTCTTTTGCACCATCTTATGCACAAACTACCATTTACCAGAGGATTCTACTTAACCACAACCAGTGCGAGTTTAACATGTTTTGGAATATACCTGATTCTTTATCGACGTCTTCATGAAGGAAAGATTCGTTATCCTTCCCCTCAGGAGCTTTGCGTACTGCTGTTGGAGGTGTACTAGAATCTGTCTCGCTGCTTGTATTTTCTCGTACGTTAGCTTCATTTTCCGATTGTGGAACGTTCGTGGTAGAACCGCCGACATATGTCTGAAATACATAATTTCTTCGATGTTTAATTTCACTCGTTTTTATATGTCATATACTTAATGATAAAAAAAAATGTTGTTCTTGTTACCTGTTGTGCTTGTAATCTAAGACGGGCTTCTTCTTGAGCATCTTTCTTTGTAGTTAAGACTTTATCTCTTATTGAAGTCCTTCTTACACTCTGAGTACGTGTATTTATACTTTGAGATCTACGTACTCGTCTTCCTTGTGCTTCTCGTAATCGTTTACTTTCTTGTTCTGTTTTAAGTTGTACTATCCTTTCCCTAATTTCCGGATCTTCACAAATATCTATGAAAATAAATTTAGCACCTTATTAATATCATATATAAAATATATAATAATCTTTAAAATTCTAATGGTAAAGATATTTTTACCAGCTGGAGTTTCATCATGTTTATTCTTTGCATTTAAATCTGCTCCATTTTGTACTAATAACTCAAGAACTTCTAACTAAAAAAATGAACAATATAGAAAATAGATTTAATTAAAAGTAACGTAATGTGTATAATATAATTCAACTCTTACATGACCCCAGCAGGCAGCTGCATGAACTGGTTGCCACTTATCATTGTCTTCAACATCAGTTGAAACATGTTGATCTAAAAGAAACTCAACTACCCTTAAATAACCATTTGCAGCTGCAATATGAAGCTAAAATTCAAAATAAAGTGAGATTACTGATAATTACTTTTTAAAGTCAACAGGATTAATGAATTAATATACATACAGGTGTAGCACCTTGATGATCTTTATACTCTAGGTCACCACCTATAGAAGCTATATTTTGTAAATCTCGTAACATTTGAACTTCTATTGAAGCCCTGGTTTCATCTATTAATTCTTGAGTAACACCTCGTCTTGCCATTTCTCCTATAATTATGTAAATAAAAAGCAAAAGATTATTTTTGTTTGTTTTGTTTTCTTCTTTCTTATTTTTTTAAACGATTTTTAACTACAAACATCATAAAAGTTCTTACCTTCAATACAATCTAATGTTTTTTCATCTTCACAAATATCATAAGGCATATTACCATCAGCATTAACAGCTAATAAATTGGCACCTCTAGCAATGAGATTTTTAACTAAATGCAAATGGCCACAGGTAGCAGCAGCATGTAATGGTGTCCATTTTTCACTATCTTCTGCATTAACATTTGCTCCAAATTCAATTAATAATTTCATCATTTCTTCATTATCATCTATACAACACTGATGTAAAGCTGTCAGTCCATCCTCATTTGTTGAATCTGGATTTACTCCCTTTTTCAAGAGTCGTCTCACTAAAGTATATGCTATTTTTTAATATACTGGTTCATATACTCAGTTATATTAAATGCAGTTACAAATAACAATTTTATAAAAAGTGTATTATATTACCTTCATCAATATCATTTCTTGCTGCAGCTTCTAAAAGCATTACACTGTCACTAAAGTATATATGACGTTTGTTACTGGTATGTCTAGTCTGATGTCGCATCCATTCTTTCTCACGTTGACGCCATACTTTTAATTGTTGGAGCCTTCTATGACGAGCCAAATGTAACCTTTCTTGAGTTGTTAATCTTTCTATATGTACCATTTCTGCTACTAAATCAGAATGTTCCATGGCTATATGCTTGTAATTTTTACAGCTGTATTTACCTACTCAAAAAAGAGAAACTATATTTTTCTTATGTATTATTTAAAATTATTATATATTAATATTTCTCATATAGTATACAAATTATGAAACAGAACTCTTAACAGGAATACTATGGTAAAAAATAGAATTGGACGCTAACCAGATTACCTTTGCATTTACAAAGTCATGAATGCATTCCAAGGTATTTTAAAATTTTATGACAAATATTAGACATCATTCTGATATAATATCAAGTTATGCTCTTTCAGATGTAAAACCTGTATGAAATTAGCTGCTTTTTCATTGGGTATTTGATTGCGAATGATATCATGCTTTTATCCAAAACTCAGTCATACTTATCAAGTACTTAGGTAAGTAAACGTACATTATTTACACAAATGTTCTAAAATACTCATTTGAATCATTATATAAGTAACAATAAATTAATATGAGTTTGCAGCTTTTTTCTTGAAATAAAATGTATATAATATGTTTATCAAATTTTATGTACTTGTTTACAAAAAATATACATTTGTACTTAATAATTCTGAAAGAATTATTTTATGTACTTAACAATTCTTTCTACTTAAGTTTTATTATTTTATACATGATAAGATGTTATAAAATATAACTAATTTTTTTTTATAAAATTAATTTTTTAGAATGAATTAAAAGCAAAAAATTAATAAAATATTTAGTATTTTAAAAAATAATAAGATAATGCAAAATTATTTGTAATTAACTTATCATTAAATAAAAATATACGATTTACTTGTTATCTTATTTTCTACATAATGCAATGTAATTTTTCCATAATAAATTACATAATAAAAAATCCCAACAGGTAAAAAAAAATGACATATGTAACCGTTTGTATTGGAAGACATTGTTTTCACATTCTTTATTTTTCGTTTCTTATCTTAACGTATGGATAAAATTATACAGTCTTCATATAAAAGACGAAAGTAGTAGGAGAAATAAGCGAATAGAGGTAAGGAGGGGGAGAAAAAAAATAGTAGTAACAATGAATAAAATATCGGTAAAAGTGCATCAGAAACAGAAATGCGGATATGTTTGCCATTTCGCGATTGTAACTCGAGAGTTATTGCAGGTGAAAGAAATCTGTTTTAGGACAGGGGGGTGTCAAATCATGATATCTACTCACATCGGCAAGTGATCGCTTGTTCGTTCACTTATTCGTTCGCGGTCCAGTGGAATGCGGAAGTTTACTCGTTCGTTCGTTCATTCGTTCGTTTTTTTTCTTTTCCGCTGGCTTGAAAAACAAGCGGAATGAAGGTAGAAAATTTTAGTCGTGATGAGTTGAACTAAGCGAAGTTGAAACTCGCGAGTACAACGTAGCGGAGAGAGAAAGTCACCGTGTTGATCGATGAAAACGCAACATAATTTAAAAGATTTCTCCGATGCAACGATTCCACTAAATGAAATAGAATCAAAGAGGTCGAATAAACCTCTTACTTTTAATTTCACGAAAATCACATTGCGTCTGATCTCGTCGCGGCACCGTGCACGCGAGGAAACGCGTACCTGTCAGTCGCCATTTTTAAACTACCTGTAGAAAATCATTCGCGCGTTCCCTTCACCGCGCGCTAACTTTGTCTTTTTTCAAATTACTCTTATGTTCAACCAGCTTTTATACAAGCGCGCCACATAAATTTTATTTTGTACGGTTTTTAGTATATTTATAGTACATATATCAACAGATCACAACAAATCACAAAATTTAATGCTTGGCGCATTTTTAAAAATTCAAATATCGCTGTCAATTTATAATACTGGTATCTTAACTTTCTCTTTAGCGTATAATTACGTTAATTTATTGAGTCATATTTTTAGTTGTTTAATTACTTAAAGATAGCTATCATTTGACACAATTTTAAAATGTTTCTTTTATAATTAAAAGATAAAGAGTAAAAGATTAAAAGATTAGAGTATAAATGTTAAGATTATTTAACCTTTTTCTTCTTTTTTTCATTTTGAATATAAATTGTATATAATTATTTAATTAGAAAAAAAATTGGAAATTAATTTATTGGATTACAGTAAAGGACATTTAATAATATAATATAATGAAGAATATATTCTATATTATTTATACGTAAAACAGTTAATTAGAATGTTAACTTATTGTCATTGTCTAAGAATTATTTTAATACTCCCGCCAAAAAAAAGAGGTCGTAGTTACTGCGTATAAAGTATAGAATGTTATGCCTCGTTTATGTCAGTAGAAATATACTATATCAGTAAGGTTAAAAGTGATACAAAACTGAAACGGAAATTTTTACTAAATTGTACACGAATGCCTTAATGCTTATAACAGTGATGAAGCGTGAATTTTTAACGGATTCTTCTTCATTGATATCGAGAGAAAATTCATCTTTTTCGACATCATGTACCAAAGGAAAGAAACAAGAAAGGAAAGTTTATTTAGCTGTCGTCAGTGGACTTTTTGCAACTACTGGAAGTGTACTTGGTAAACTTGCTAGTAATGTGGAAATGGAGTCCTCAGTAAGTGATGATGTGACTTATTAATTATTTTTTTATGTAAGAAATTTATAATAATAAAATTTGTAATCCAGTTTTAAATTGTAATTAAATGTTTTCGTATAATAACATTGACTTATTTGTTAATAAGTTTGAAGTGCTATTAAAAGGAATACTTTTAATATTTATGGTCACAAGTAATACCATAGGCTGCCAATTTTTCGTAAAAGCACTCAATGCCAGCGGATCTTCTTTACCCTGTACAATAGCCAGCGCCGCCACCAGTTATATTTGCTCGGTAATTTAGCCTTCTATCGATATATCAATACAAGAATACAAAGAGAAGTGAATATATATTTAGATGTGATTTAATTTTTTCTTTAAGGTTCTTGTGGGTTCCTTGATTTTTAATGAATCGACGTCAATTAGCTGGTGGTGCGGTATAACTTTTGTTATTTTAGGTTTATTGCTCATCTGTTATACTCCATCTACAAACGATTCTAAACTTTCTCCAAAGAAATCGAAAGAAGAATAATTGCAGAAAATAATTCGGAAATCCTTTCCCACTTATTATCTGTTTTTATAAATTATCTATATTGTAATAGCATTATCATTAACTTATTTACTATGAATAAATAAATGAAAAATTATATTGAAATCTTTTTTTAAACGAATTACAAACCTCTTTTTATTTATTTTTATTTTATAACTTTTATTACTTTTGTTTTATATTGTATTAAATGTTATTTTATATTTGTATTTATAATGACAAACTTGTTATAAACATTTCTAAAAGGTAAATTTGCTTTTTATAACCGTATTCAGTTCAAATATTTAAATGAAAATGTTTTGTAAATGAATGTACAATTGATTATATATAAAATTTAATTAAATTTTAATCAAGTTTTGTGCAAAATGAAGTCTATGTTAGAATTTATTTAATTATTTATCGCTATTTGCGTATACATGTAATTTTTATGTTACATAATTTGTACTTAACCGAGCATGTGAAAAATAATTTAGATTTGTTATCTTAGATTTTCATTCCTTTCTTTTTACCCCAAAAAGCAATGAGAAATACGAAAAGAACGAGAGAAAAACCGGCAGGGGAAAAGACCTGAAGTGTACTTATTTTAGAGACTAAAGTGGATCTTCGTGCTTGTAATAGCACTGGATAAGAAACACGAGGAAAAGAGAATAGAAGATTCTTCCGCCCTATTTCCTACTACTTGTAGATTACACAAATATCTTTTTGATTGAATAGGATCCTAAATTTCTTTTAAGTGTACATCGAGGTTTACAATTAAGTTTTTTCTTTTTCAACTTATTTCTTGCTGATATACTAATATTTACAAAAGATACATAAATAGGCTTAAAATTAAAGAAAAATTAAAAACCCCAGGCTGATGAGATTAAATACAATCGTTTAATATAAAGATTTAAAATATTTATTTTACAATAAAGAAAAATGTTTTATAAAATTACTAAAAATGTGTGCACACGAGCGCGTATGTGTGTATGTCGTATACATGTACATTAACATAAGTTAGTAACAAAGTATCCTACTAGCCCAGGGTTACTAGTACTTCGTTAGATAGGTAGTGTACCCTAGTTAAAAGTATATGTGTACCGAGCTGTCCACGAAGTTTCAGTCGACCAGGTTTTTAGTTTGTGGGGCAGGGTCGTGGTTCATAGGTGTTTCATGCAGCTGAGGAGGGTATTAGAAGGAGAACGCAAAAGAAGAGCAAGAGGATGGCTTTATCGAGCGGCGACTGCGCTGCAGTGTTATTCTCCATACTGCCGCCTACTGGCTGGCAGTCATTCTCGGCAAACGAGGATATGATAGTCTCCTTTTCTTCTTTTTTTTAACTAAATATTTTCCTGTTATTGTTACTCCACGTTTGCATATTAATAAACAATTATCTATAGTATTTCGTACAATTAAGTGTACTATTTTGCACGGCAAATCCTGACAACTTTTATGATTTATCAACCGCTCAAACGATTCGCGACAACACTTGACTCATGTAATTACACTTTTCGGTGGATCTTTTTCATTCAGTCGAATTATTAACGCGACACCTTGTTTTCATTAAATATATAAGAATTTTCATCGACCATCGTAACAACTATCACTGTATGCTGCAATCATTGGTCACTTAACCAAAATAATCAAAATAATCAAACATTTACTAAACAATTAGCAGTTAATCGTCTTAGATATCCAAGATGATCCGTTTCAAGTATTTCTATACATCTTTTTACCTCGTCACCCTCTTCGTGGTAGGCCTTCCGTTATTCAATGAGTTCTACTGTCCGGTGCACGCGCCTTACTTTCCCCCTCTTCTCCGTCTTTATCCCCACCTTTATCCTTCTCCCTCTCGGTGGCGAGTGCCCCTAGATTCTGGCAACGCTTCTCGCAACTGAGACAACGGGACAGTTTTCATACGGCGCACCCTCCTGCCAATCGAGTCGAATACCAAATAGTACGGATACCGAGCCTATGTGTTACGCGGTCGCGTATCTATCCACTAGATCGGCTACTTCGCTGCTTGCTACGTGTGCGTATACAACCGTGTTAATTAGCAAAGGTGCCTTTACGTGAAAGTGTCGACAGGTAGAGTGAATTACGGTTCTCGTTACGATCAATCGGTTGTCCTATTGTAAAATTTTCACACTCTATATCGTATCTTTCATGTTTCTTCCTGTTTCCTTGGCGTTTCTTTTGCTTTTCACTTGGTTATAACGAAGAGCCTTTGATTCAGTAGCAAGTTACAATAAGCCGGTGATCAATTAATGCGGAAGTTACAATATGTGAAAGGAACAAAGACCGACTCGAACAAAGTAAATACGACGAGGATTTTAATTGATTTCACTCCCATGGGTCTTATGCGGTAGTTTTGAGTTGTGCTGAAAGAACCGAATGTCCATAAACGCAATTGCAACTGCCAATTATCTATCGTACGAGATTTCCTAATGGACGGAAAACGAAACTCGCGTTTTCTCCTTGTTCACGCTGTTTCCGTTATGTATGTGTACGTTAAAATATGATAATCAAACTAAACAACGTTACGTTCACCGATTCGCAATCTAAAACAAGCACGGCTGAATTCTAATTCGATCGGGACGATAAAATGAAAAAATTCGCGATTAAAAGTAACGATACGAGTTTATTCTTTATACAAGCTAACGTGCAATCAATTTCCTCAAAATATCCAATTTCGAGTATTATGTTTAACAAACGATCGGCTCGTTTAATCACATTCGATAATTTACACGTACCACCGGAGCGGAGATGCGATTAAAGTGACGAAGCTTGCACTGTCGCTTATTAATTGTTAACATAAAATCTATCGTATCCGTGTGGCGTAATGCAAAATTCAATTGCAATTCGTACATAGACATCGCTATGGTTATTTAGTATTCATGAAAGGATAAAAATCACAATAGAAACGACATGCTATTATCGCAAAGCATTTAGTGTACTACCCGCGGTGGCCATTTAGGTCATCGCGATGAAAAGTCGCGGAATTTTTATTTCCCTTCCCTTTCAATTCGTCAATCCGGTTTCTCCTAAGTCTTACTTCGTTTTATTGCCCCGTCGAATTTGACTTTTGCCAGGATCAGCACACGCAAGACCAGCTTCGATTTTCTATTTGGCAGCTTTCCAACTAATACGGCAAAACCAAAGACGCGAAAACTTTTTAATTTATCCCCGTAGGGAGAATAACGATTGTGCCCGTTAGCTGCATTTCGTTCTCCGTCCTATACAGGCTGTCCTTTATACAAATGCATCGTGCATTTAAATTGTCAGGCGAAATCGGCCTAGAAAATATAGACTTCATCCGGCCGACTAAATGAAACAAAAGCTCTTCTTTAAATTGCTCTGTTTTCCTACCGAATGATAACTTGATCGCCCGCAATGAATTCCTTTTTGTTTTTCAATTCCGCTATTTTCATTACGCTTCTACTATCGTAGGATCGTATGCATCATGCTATTGATCGATACGCGAACGATCTCGTTATAGATCGAGAGAATAAACGTATCCTCTGTACGGGAATGCACGCTCGTTTGACATAATTCGCTTAAATTTATATGGCTTTTCGAAGTTCATTTTTCACGAGCGTGACACACGGGAAAGTTTTACCTGTCGATAGCCGTTCAACAAATTTCCATGAAGTCACGATCGTCGGGAAATTGCACGCTCGAACCGCTTCTGACGCAGCGTAGCGGGATAAATACGTTGTAAATGCTTGCATAGATAGGTCTCGGTGGAAAAAACAGAAGTACAGAGAAACGCACGTGCACTGTGTGTGACACAGTTGGAAAAGGGTTTCGTGACAATCTGCTTGATCTTCGGTTACGAGCAAGATTTATAGCACAAGGCGTTCCATGTATTTTTCTCTCCTTCCTTCCTCCTTTTTTATCTTCCTCCTGCACTTTGTCGCGTAAATAATAAACGAAAACGAATGCGGGTGGAGGATAAAAATTGCGAAATAACGCATTTATACGTTACGTGACACTGTGTTTTATCGTAATTCGCGCGCTACGAACTGTGAAGATATATCCTATCAGCTTCATCTAATGGTCGAAAGCCGCGCTATCTCGATAAATCATTGTCGGGTAGAATACGTAGGGGAAAGAAGCATTGGCGTTAGAGAAAGTAATAAAGGAGACAGGCGAAGCGATTGGACTACGTATCTTTGATTGCGTTTCAGTGAAAAGAGTATCGCAAGAGGGAACATGCTGGCGCGAGTATACCGCATTATGAGTACCACGTTCGACGACTTCCAAGGTTTCAATTAAACGACGTAATCAAGTCAATCAGAACTCGTAACAGCTTGGAGAATCCATCTTCAACGATGATGCTGAAGGAGGGACGCGACGACGGCGGCCACGAACGAAATTGTTGTCCAACAATAAGATCATCGGGGAGCGAGCTCGAGAGACGAAAGATAAGAGAAGATCGTCGAATCGTCCCAGGCGTGTCGACCGATTGAATCGATAGCTTTCTTTCTTCTTTTTGTTACTATTTTCTTTTTTTTTTTTCTTCTTTTCATCTTGTCGCGAACATACGATTGCGTCTGTGCCCCGAGGGAATTCCGCGCGCAATAACGTAAATTGGCACCATGGGGAATGGCATGAATAAGGTGAGGAGCAAGTTCACACGTAAGTGGCGTTTTAATCGAAAATTTCTGTCATCCGTGATTCGTCTGTCGTCGGTGCGATGGATAAAATGGAAAAGGGACGGAAACATGTTTAAGATGTGGTTAGAAATCGATCGACGTAGAAATTTGTTCGTGACATGCGAGAGTAATTTACCAAAATTCGATTATGTTAATTTGTCGAAGGTAAAAAAACGTTGTTCGCTGTTGCTTGTTATGTGCCTTAGCCTATGTCAAAAAATATGTTAACGATGCACGTGCTTCTATATATTATTTCGTCGGTTTACGTGTGTGCGTATTGTAAAATCGTTACACCGACGGCGCTAATTTTATCCGTCCTAGATACCGAAATTCAAAGATATCGTTTCTCTTGTATGCTGCCGCGTGAGAATATTCGACGAATTTCTATTTTCATCCTTGCACCGTGTCGAAATTCTTTGTTGCAATGGTTCGTCGCGTTAGAAAATTGCAGGTTGAACCATCGCGTTCAGCAGCCTCGTAAACTTATCGCGAAATCGGCGAGCCAACGGCTATGGTCGGTAAGCATCGTCGTACACGATGTATGTGTAATATCCCTCGACGATGCACACCGAGATTTCGATCGATGGTCCCGATGAAAAGTTAAGAGCTGTACCTTTGTTCTCGTGTTCGGCTAGAGACACCTCACTTAAGAATGTGGCATCGATTAAACGATTACCGCGATTCTCACCTGGCCGTACACGTTCGAGTGATCATCCACAAAGATGAATGATTAACAGTGGAGCACCTGCATCAAAAAGCTGCTCTATCGACTTTTTTTCCAACGCTATCTCGGCGTTCACGTATCTCGAGTGCCGCTCGACTTTTTTTTCTCTTTACGCTAATTGCGATAGGAGAAGCATCAATTCGACGTTGAATGCGAAACGTACGTGCACTCGTTCAAATGCCGCTCGTTACGAGGCTAATGATTCTGATAATGAACGATCACGCAGGATTAACGCGGTACTAATTAGAAAAAGAACGAATCTTACGTTGTCGATGCGCTGTCTCTCACGTGCTCTTGTTATGTTTCGCGTCGACAGGTTCTTCCCGGGCTTTACATCGGGAATTATCACGACAGCAAAGATGCAGATCAATTGGAACGATTTGAGATCACGCACATTCTGGCGATCCACGACACGGCTCGTCGATTGCATTCCGTGAGTATACGGAAATATATCGTTCAACTTGGCTCCTATAAATTCGACGAAATTAGTTGGATAAATTATTTCCTAGGACAAACATTACCTATGCATATTGGCGGCGGACAGCCCGGACCAGAATCTCTCTCAGTATTTCTCCTTGTGTAATGATTTTATTCACGCTGCACGCCTACGCGGTGGAAACGTCCTGATACACTGGTGCGTAGCAACTTTAACGTATGCCTGGCTTTTATCTTCGATCTTTAGAGGGAAAAGAGAAAAAAGAAGAAGAAGAAACGCGAAGAGATTATCCCCTTTTACCTTAAACGACATTTAACAAACCGATTTCCGTTTCAAAAGCGTTCACCGAACGATATTCGGTTTCAGCTTAGCCGGTATGTCGAGAAGCGTCACAGTAGCAGTGGCCTATATTATGAGTACTACCAATCTTTCATGGAAAGAGGCACTTAAAGTTGTCAGAGTAGGTCGTTCCATCGCCAATCCAAACGTCGGTTTTCAGCAACAGCTGAAAGATTTCGAATCCAGTCGATTACACGAGGTATTTGAATTAATGTTTAAAAGAGCAGTAGGTACCCCCCGGGGCCGTTCCCTTTATGCTACATTTTTTTTTTCTTTTCTTTTCGAAAGACTCGATTTAATTAAGACGAGAACGACTCTCTAATTAGAGGGAAGAAAATTGCTCGAGATCGTTCATCGAACTTTTGCGTCAACGATGAACCAAGATACTACGTTATACGATAGGCCTTTGACACTTATCAAACGATCCTCGATAGAGATACGAGCCTCGTAAGAAAATGGGTTAGTAATTCAAACGAAATTAACTCGGATATTTTCTTTATTAACGAAATAGGAACGACGTAGGTTGAAAGAGCGATTTCCAAGCTTGGCGCTCACGGAATCCGATGCAGAAGTATGTCGTACTACTTTAAGAAATTACGAAACCATGGCATTGGCACGAGAAGTGTGCGAGGGAAAATGTGCCATGGGCCGTCCTTGTCCGACTGGACTATGTAGGCAACCTTCCAAAAGGTTTGTCATTTCTTCTCCTTAATCTTACCTTTAGTAACCCGAGCCACTTTTAGAAAATAAAATCAGCTAACCCAAGCCAGTTGCGGTGTTTGTCCTGTAATTTTTTTAATTCTCCGCTCCAATTATTTGATCTTCGTCTATGTACACAGGAGCCCGAGAAGAAAACCATCGACGGGCAGTACCAGCAGCTTAAACACTGGTAGAACACCACCACAAACACCGAGAATGCTACCATCCGCGCCACCTTCACCCGCCATGCACCGATCAGCCAGCGTGCTCTCGACATCGAGACCAAGGAGTGGTCCTGCTGGTTTACATTATTATACCGGTGGATCTGCGCCTCCTTCCAGGTAATATCACATACTGCGCGTACCACCCAGCGAAACGGTATCGTTACAGAATATTAACTTTCTCGTAAGCAATAAAGACAATGATGAACACCGTAACGTCAGCGATATTATCAGAAGCGATATTTGACTCTCGAACTTCCTCTCGGTTCCTTTATGGTTTTCTCACGGATACGTTTCATTTTCCTTTCTGCCAATGCAAAGTATGTGAGTCGTAGTATTTCCCACTCACGTTTCACTTTCAGAGCGGTGTCCAGGGTCGACCTGTCCGCTGCAGTGGCATGCAGCAGTAGCAGCACGAGTCTAACATCGATTGGCAGATCAGGCATGTCCAGTAGTAATTGGCGATTGGCAGCTGGATCTGCGCCGAATACCCCGAGGCCGACACCGCCAGTTTCACCGCAACGTTGGCCAAGACGAGCTTCTACTCGACAAACACCCCCTTTGCCAATCTCGCCGGAAACTCCTTCGACAACGACGTAGCACTTGCGGAACATTGCTTCGTTCTCGACTCTGCGCGAGTAACCTCAAGTAATCTCGAGTAATCTCGACGTCTCCTTCTCGATGTCTCTTCACCCAACGACATCGCTGCTGCCTACGATCATTGCTGATCACTGTCACGATGCTAGCGTGTCGGCGAAAGCCCGGCTTTTCGCTGCGATAAGGAAAAGGAAACGTCGAGAAACATATGGGGAATAAGCGAAGAGCGAGAAGGAATTTCTAATAACGAAGCAAACTGTACTTAAGTTTCTTGAAACGATGCCTGACAGTGCAAGTTCTTGTAAAACAGTCTTTCAGTAAATCGTTTTCATCGAGCTGCACCGCCACAAGGATGTAAAGATGTTTTGGACGATTATTCTGAAACGCATGAAGTCAAGCCGTTTCTATATTACCAGTTGACCAGCGTGGAGACTAACGAAACGCTTTGTTATGAATAATTCACGGTTGAAAGTTCGAGGATACTTGTCTATTGATTGTATAAAAAGGCTAGCAAGGGAAGTTATGCCAGCTAATACAGCGAAACGTTCGCAACGTCGCACGTCTGAAAGTTAATTAAACGTCATGAGCGAAATCGCACAAGATATATACTCTTTCCGTTCGGAGCGAACGTGTGAGAAATTTGCGAAATTTCATACGCGAACAAAGCCGACACGTACGGACGGAAATTATTTCGAAACGCGTTTGCTCGCGCGTGCGAAAGAAATCGCGTGCCGAATATTTAAACGTCGACTGCGAATGTTAACCGATGCGATAATAATTTCGAACAGCGCGTAATGGCGATCATCGACAATCTTGCGTACGATTCTAGAACTCTTGTTAATTTTTTTATCGCGTATAATGAAAGTTATCGTTTACGACGAACGTCGAAACTGCGAAAAGTAATCGATCAATCGAGCTATTCTAATGGATACTTCGCTGAGGGAAATTCGTAAAGGAGAATTTACTCGTAGTGATAACTATCGATCACTTTCCCAACCGTTACTATTGAAGGTAAAATGAAAAAAGAAAAAAGAAAAAAAAAAAAAATGACGTAGAATTCGCTGTTAGAAGCGCAGAAAATCGTTGCATCCGAGAGAAATGCATTTAATTCGCGTACTCGTTACGCGTGTAACTTAATCCCATCAGCAAATTCACATCGATCGAATGTTACATCGGCCGTCACTGTCTCTTTTAATTCATTTTAGCTGTTAAATCAACGATTAATACCGTACGATTTTGGTACAATGCATTCTCGATTGCTGAACGCGGCGAACCGCTTTGAATCATTAAATATTTCTCTTCATCGAATCAGAGCTTGATCGCCATGTTTGATGTTTGCGTTCAGGACATCTAGAGATGTAATTTACGAGAATACAAAGTAACTATAACCGGCCGTTTTGTGAATGCACGAAGAACGAAGTTGCATCGTTGACAACGAGATTAATGTTAGAAAAAAAAAGGGTGTGGGGGGAGGGGGAAAGAAGAATTATAATTATTCTCGATTACCCGAACAAAACACAAGTGAAAGCGAGAAGAACGCGAGCCGTTGTTCCTCGAATCGTTCCATTGAGTTTGTTCGCAACCGTCCATTGCAGTTGTTGGATTTGTAGCGGAAACCACGCTGTTTAGCGCAAGTTGTTAATCCAAAGGAAAGCATATACATATATACCCGCATACACATATATTTAAAAACGACGTGTCGATGAAAGTATTTTATGCACACTATCCATTAACAGGTTGAAGATAAGTCCCTTCTGATCGCTGATAAAAAGGCAACAATCATGTGACGATTCCGAATTTTTTTCATTCTTCGACATTTGTTTTGTCGCACAATTTTATTCGTAGCACGCTGGATTCGGAGCACATTGTAATATACTTTTCTAAGGTGCAAACGAAAGAGGTGGAAATATCGTGCAACGTCAACATGTTGGAAGCGTCTTATTTTCAGACGAATCTTCATCGTGTGCATAAAATTACGCTTGTCATCGTACACCTTGTATGCATATACACTTTGTAGACATACGTTGTTGCAAAAGGATTTCAGAAAATTTTATAACTTGTTGGCAATGGTGATTATTATGCGACTATGTCGTAGATTAGATAGACAAGTTGTTATTCTTTCGTGCACCGACGTACGATTCGCGCGACGTGAGCGAGAAGAAAGCAAAATTTCGCAAGCGGATCTCCGATATCATCCCTCCTATCATCGAAGCACACTTTCCTCCATTCGCGTGATAGAAACATTTATTTTTTTAGAATCACTCGACTTATCATAGACCTAAAAAAGAAAAAAAGAAAAAAGAAAAAGACAAAAAAGAAAAATCAATTTTAGAGGATAGATATAAAGCGCGCAATTAAAGAATATAAAAGGCGCTCGTTTCATTCAACTTTTTAGCGTTGTTCAATGAGGAAAGTGATTTTAACAATTTCACTGTGAATTATTCGATTAAATCTGTTAAAATCATTCTCCGAGTAAGCTGTACTCCTTTGAATAATCTGATCATCGGTGCCCGAAGTGATAGAAATTAAACAATCATTTCCGCCGCAGTTGCATACTTATTGTTTATTACCGTTAATTGTTGCATTAAGTAGGGACTGCATATTACTAGATAGCAATAACGTAGACGAATCTTGATGATTCGAAATATACTCTAGTGACCGAGATGAACCCTTACAGTTTCGTTGATACCAGCTATAGTTTTGGTCAGTTCAAAGGAGTAGAGATATGATAATGTTAAAAATTCACAAGATATTTTTTATAAACTTATTGTTTTCAAGGTTTTGCTCGATATCAACATATCGCTGTTATATTAATTAAATATATATACATATATACACCGGTACACATAACGCTTGACCATTTAAATACAAAGATATATAATATATATTTGTAGAGAAAAATACTCCACGAATCGTAACTTACTTTCGGCTCCATTTTTTCATCTTAGGACTTTTCGTTTAAACTTGTAACGATATTTTAACATAATTTCAACAGACAATGAAGAATTCGATATGTTTATATTTTCTATTCGATGCCTACGCTATACAATTTTAGGTTGTGACTGCGAAAATAAAATATGCAAGAAAAGAAAACGAGAAGAGAGACAAAAGAGAAAAGGAAAGCATTTTTAAAATTGAAAAACGATTAAATTTACGCTTAATGGGATAACTTTTGAAAACAGTTTAAGTCGCAATTTTCGTCTTCAATAACATGTTTGATAAATAACATAAAATATTACATTATTAGATTTTATTTATGAAATATTTAACACGGGATCAAACGAAAATGTTATACATTATCATTTGAAGTGCATGCAAACAGAACAAACATGATAACGGAATAATAATATAAGAAAATTTTGATTGAAGTTTTTGACCATTATTATACACTTGTTCCTTTTTTTTAAGGTTCTTTTATTTTTAAAGAAAATTCCAATTCGTCTCATCGCGACTTAGGCTTTCAAAGTTATCTATCTAAGTTTTTACTATATTTATACAATACTAACATGTTTCGGAATTAAAAAAAGTATATAACGCTTCTTCGAAATTCATGGTGTCTAATATTTTATATTTTCTACGGAACTGTATAAAGATTGCTCCAAAAACGATATATGCTGTCAATATTTTTCTATTCACGAAATCGGTTCAATATTTTTAGCGCAATTACATCATTCTGTTCGGTAACCTTTTTTAATACATAATAAGAAATCCTAAGGCTTTAACAAAAAAACAATTAAAAAGAAACGCAATTTTACATTATGTTATATATTATATTTAATGAATATAATATTGTCCATACAAATGATTATAAAATATAATTTGAAAAATTTTGGTAACACTTTAATAAAATTTCTGGCGCTTCTTAAAACAATGTTTATTTTTTCCAAAATCAATAACTGATAATAAAGATTAGTTACTGATTTTATAATATTTATAAAAATAAGAAATGTAATTTAGTAATGACGATAAACATCAGGTGGCGCGTTACGAGTAGTTTTTAAAGGTGGGAGTTACTCATTTACAAGAATAAATTGTATCTGATTGGCGAATGATAAGTGACAAGTGAGAATACATATAACAAATTGTGATTTGCACAATTCATTATATTCATAAGTTTGTACAATCAGAATGTAATCAATCTATAATAATTTTATGACAATTTAGTAAAAAAACAATGAGTGATAGACAAATTTAACCTATTAATTGAAAACAGTGTAACACCTTGTAAGGTTGTTGTCAGTTGATCATGGGGGTTGCTTAAAGGGTTAGCAAGTATTTAAGAATAGTGAGCACAATGATAAATTTGTTTGTAATAATGCGCAATAAGTATTATTTTATGGGATGAGTTCTCCTCCTATTTCGGTATCTCTCTGCGTTATTCGCGTCGAGATTGTTGACGAGGATTCTGAAGAATCGAATGGTAAATATTTATGTGTATTATATATTAGAGTAGTAACTTTCAATTGTTATAGTTAAGTTATATTCTACTTGTTTTTATAATAAATCGTTTCGATTAATCTTTATGTTTACAAATTTCTTTTAAGGTTATGTTATTTGTCATAACAATGTTGGGTTTATATTATTATCATTTTTCTGTAAAATTGATGTAATATTAAAGATGAGCTTTTCGTTCGTAAGAAAATACACAAATAAATAAAATTGATAGCAAAAATACATTCTTATTTTTTTAATTATATGATATTAAATATGCATTAAGCTTGCAAAATATCATTTTTATATTTAAATAATATTTTACGTTGTTATATTCAATGTCGAATATATCATATTATAATGTTAAAATTTTTAGTTTGTCCTCGTTTTATATATTTTCATCAATATATTTTTTAAGAACTTAAACCTTTTAACTCTAAAAACCTTTTAGATTTCCAAATTTTTAATGTATGAAGATTGCAAAAAAAAATTATTAAAAGTACAAAGATCATACCTTGTTTGTATCATCATTAATTCACAGTGGATTTCGTAATCCAGGCGCAATGGCTGCCAAGATGAGGGGTCGCAGAGAACCAACCAAGATAAACATGGAAAATTGCACAAATCTTACAGAGAAGCAAGATTCGTCACTTCCTTCTCAGGGAACTAGCAAATCAACCTCTACTTCTAGAGCTAATTCAGAGGAAAATACCTATGATGACTTAGATATAGCCGGTGCAAGTGCTTGTGCCTGTGATCAAATCAATTTTATCTCTGGAAACCCATTTGTTGAAGTGACCAAAGGAATTATACATTTGTATAAAGAAAAGTAAACACTATGTATCTTAATTATCATTTAGTTATGTTTATTTAAATAATTAATTAATAATTATTTTTGTTCATAGCAATATCTAATGATATTAATGATTTCCAGCAAATTAACAGATATACATCATGCAGCAGAACGTACCCAAACCATCTGCATTCTCTCAGTTCCAGCTACAATGACCTGTCATGATCTTCTAAGGTTTACAGCACCTTGTCATCAAGATATTCGACATTTTAGAATACTTAGAGATGGCAGTCCCAATCAATATATGGCATTGATTACCTTTAAATCAGCTGTAATTATATATAATGAATTGAATTTTTTTCCTATATTAATGAAACAGTCTTATAACATTAAATTTCATATGATATTTTAGAATGCAGCAACAGAATTTTATGGCTCTTTTAATGGCACTCCATATAATTCTTTTGAACCAGATGTTATTTGTCATATGGTCTTTGTGTACAGTGTAGAAGTGACATATAATGCTATGCCTTTATCTGGACATACAGAGTTACCACTTTGTCCAGTTTGTTTAGAAAGAATGGATGAAAGTGTTGATGGAATTTTAACAATTCTATGTAATCATACATTTCATGCAAGTTGTCTAGCTAAATGGGGAGATACCTCTTGTCCAGTTTGTAGATATGCTCAAACACCAGAATCATTTGCAGATAGTTATTGTATGGAATGCAGTATGTAAACAATAATTGTTGTTTAATTCGACAAAGCAAAGATTAAAAATATTACAAATAAAAAATATATAAATACTGTTTAGATACGGGAGAAAGTAATGACGCTCTATGGATCTGCCTAATTTGTGGACACATAGGTTGTTCACGTTATCACCAGGGACATGCCTTTCAACACTATCGCGAAACGCATCATTGTTATGCTATGCAATTAGGGAACAACAGAGTTTGGGATTATGTTGGAGATAATTTTGTTCATCGATTGTTGCAAAACAAAGATGGAAAGATGGTAGAAGGTGGTCCTACTGCAACTAAAGCTGAAGGTGCTGCAATGGAAGAAAAAGTAGATTCTGTACAACTGGAATTCACGTATCTTTTAACATCGCAATTAGAAACTCAAAGACAATATTTCGAGGACAGGCTGGCACGATTAGAGCAGCATTCTGTACTACAAACTACAGAACTGAGAGAAAAGCTGGGTCAAATATCAGAAGAAAATGCCAAAGTTAAGGTAACTTTTTTTATCAAAACTTTTAAAAATCAAGAATAAGAGTTCATCATTTTATTATGTACTTTAGGAACAATTAACAATATTAAGTCGAGAGAAACAAAATGTGGATAAACGATTGCAGCAAGTTAGTAATAAATTGGTACAAGTACAAGCAGAGTTAACTGAAGAAAAAGAACTAAGTAAAGCGCTAGAATCAAATCAAGCTACTTGGAAAGATAAATACAAAATGTTGCAAAATGAAATGACCGAGTATCAAAAGACGAAACAAACAGAAGTAACAAATTTGAAAGAACAAGTACAAGATTTAATGTTTTATCTCGACGCCCAAAATAAAGTTGAAAATTCGGAATTACGAGAAGAAATCGCATCAGGTCGTATAGTGATTCCGGAAACCTCTAACTCTGCAAAGAAGAATACTCGACCTTCCAAGACTCGAAAAAAACATTGATGTTATTCGCTGATATCTTCTGTAAAAAAAAAATTAAGTTTTAAATCTTATGTAGAAATTAAAAACTGATTTTGTACTATTTTAATTATGTTAAAATAAACAACTGAGTTTTTTTTTTACTGATTTTAAAGAAACTTTATAGTATAACAATATAGAAGCTATGGTCAATACTATAAATTACTGAGGTAAATTTCAAATAAATTTTAATGCTTAATATTAATATTAATATTTAATTTTTTGAAATAAGCTTAATATACGAAATTGTACTTTTTAAAGGTAAATTAATGCTATAAATGCATAAATGAAATCTGTTAAGTGAAAATTTTTTAATTTAGTTCATCTCAAAAATAGAAGATATTGTTTGATATTTATTATGTCTTGTCAATGTGACATTTGAAAGTGGGTATAGAAATATTAGCTTCATTCGGTTAATTTGTAATTAAACTTGTACCAATATTCAATGGAGGATATACTGTTTTAGTCAAAAATAATAAATATTTCAATTCTTATAAATTTCCTATTTTCTATCAGAGCTATTTTAAGTGAATGTGAATCCATAAATGTAAAATATATTAAATCTCAAAATAAATACATCTACTTAAAAACGATTATGTTTTATGTGTAGATTGCACCTTTTCAACTTTACAATTAGTAATATTGTGTGAATAACTAAAAATTATATTTGTAGGTACATGCATAGTATTAAAATCATTACACTTCTCTTTTAATTTGTCAATAAATATTCTAACGAATAATAGTTTTTACTAACTTGTTAACTACTGAACAAATAATTGCATGATACATATATGTATGTATGTGCATTTAAATAAATGTCATCTATTTAAAATTAATCTTTCATTTAATTATTTAACATGCTTATCTGAAATATTTTTACCAAATTCGCAGCTATTTGTCATATTTTTAGGTATCTTTCCTTACTTTATCATATATCTTTCATTTACAAAACAGGAACAGATACAGTACTGGTACTTGCAATAAAAATACAAAGAAAAACTTATTTAAAAAAGTACCTCAATACATAATTTTTATTAAGGTATACACATGTTGCTGATTTATAGTTTCTTTTTATGATAATAATTATCCTATTTTTATTCTCATAAGAGTACGAGTCGCTTTTAGACAATTATTAATTGCCAACACAATTTGTTGGCTCAGTTATAAAATAAAACTGATATACATATTTACATTATCTACAACTGCATTCAATTAGAATACACATGTTTAACTAAACGATTGCACATTTGGACGTCGATGTTGGTCATGCATGTAAATAAGTCTCATTTAATGAAAAATTGTTATATTTAATTATTAACCAAACACAGTTTCTCTCCTTGTCTGCGAAGAAAAACAGTTACACATTATGAATCCTAAAATATAATTTGTTAAATAACTATTAACAAGTAAAAACTCAAAATATACTATGGAAAACAGCATAATTATCTTAGAAATGTCTCATGCAGTTTTGTTCAAATTTATGGTAACGGTCTGTGGAAACTCAGTTTCGTAACAAAACGTCCTTCGTACAATACAACGTAATTTTAATACATAGTAGATTATAATAATAGAATAGCGCTCCTTTATTCATACTGCTCTCTAAAAATTAAATGATACATAATCTGCCAAATATTTTAATATAAAACAATCAACTATTAAGACATTTGACATAGTATCACTACATTGAATATTCCAAATAATCGCTCATGCGATTGTTCTTGTTTGACATTTAGGACATAATATAGTTACTATATTACATTTATATCGGAGAGCAATATGAGGAACCAACATCGATCAGTCTTGGAATTACAATTAGCGATAGAAATTATTATATTTTGCAAAGTATATAAATATAAAAGAATAATAACTAAGATCCGTAACTACCTTGTGATAATTAATAACGCTAATTATTCGTAAGGCCTTATGCGTTATAAATTTAACGCAAATAAATATGGGCCTTCCAGTTGCTTCTTACATTCAATGCCAATACATAAAATCGCAATATGTTTTGTGTAAAATAGTTATTGTAAAAAAATTTCGTACAACGATCAATACAGAAAAGTGCTTAATAATTTCATAATATTGATCAGTTAGATATTATTATCTAATAGTTAATTAGTATAAGTTGGCAAAAAGCATTTCATCGTATAGTCTTCCTGTACGGAAGTTACTCAAATCTTCAGACAACATGTACCAGTTAATATTTGTTAAAAATTTCTTATTATCTTAAGTAGTTACAGTCTCGAGTCATTGTATTTAGCAGACTATATGACGAAAATTTACGAAGTGCAACATACAATGCACAATGCACAATGCACAATACAACGTAAAATCGTTTATTTTTTTTGCAATTAAGACAAATTAAACTTTTTTATTTGATAGAATGCTGCTAGTAACACCAGCAATTAATCCAAGTTTAAAATGTCTGTATTAAAATATCTAAGAAACAAGAATAAAAACGAACGAGATTTTTAAAAGATTAAGGATGCAATATATATAAACATATTACATTTGTTTCATCACTTTATTTTGTGCTGAATTATTGTTTTCTTCGCTTGTCAAATAAAGGGAAAAATTTTAATACATAAAGAAATAAGAGGTAAAACATTAAGATAAAGTATTACGAAACAATACTTGTAAAAATATCAATACCGAATAAATTGGATCAAAAGTCTCGCTCGTTTTTTAATTTTCGGTATTTACAGGTTCTCGTGCATGATGAATTCTGACATGTTTGTTATGATTGGATTTCGTACCACTAGATTTCCCACAAATATGACATGTATATGGTCTGGCACCTGAATGTACTCGCAAATGTTCTTTTAGATAATACGATCTATGAAAAGTTTTGTTGCAAACATCGCATGTATACGCTTTGTTTTCTTCATGTTCTTTTACATGCCTTAAACAATTATATTTTCGTATGAACTGCGCTCCGCAATAGTTACAGGTATAAGGACGCACGTTTCTGTGAGAATTCATATGAGCAGTATAATCACTGTGTCGGTAAAATGCACCACTACACTGGTTACACTTGAAAGGTTTGGTGCTACGGGCAGCGTGAGTCCATTTGTGCAATTGTAAGTTCCACTTAGTACTAAATGCTTTAGAGCAAACTTGACATTCATATGGTCTCTCACCATTATGAACTCGCATATGCACTGCTAAGGAAGATCGCAAATAAATACACTTACATACGGGACATTCAACATTTTCGCTCTCTCTTTGAGCATCTGGAACGAATCTTTTGTTATGAGCTCGGCGCATATGTCTAGTCAGGCTGGCCATGTGAATGAATCTTTCATTACAATATGTACATGCTTTAGGTTTTTCATCATGTGTTTCTTTATGCCAAGCTAACTTCTTTTTTGTATGAAAAACCTCACCACAATGACATATGTAATCTTTTAATTTTTTTTTTATATTCAAATGATGTCTATTTTTGTGCTGTGTTAAATTTGAATATCTACGAAATGTTTCATTGCAAAGATTACATTTAACAGGTGCATTCCCAGTATGACCATTAGTATGTTCATCCAATTTCTGCTTTGTTAAAAATGCTTTGTCACAAACAGTACATGGAAATGGTTTAATTCCTAAATGTCGTTTCATATGTAATTTGAAATTTTGTTTTCTATAAAAATACTTTCCGCATTGGCTACATTCTAATGGGTGTATTTTTAAATGGGCATTGAATAACAAAACCGAAGGAAATTCTTCATGACATATCTGGCACTTGGTGCTCTCGCGAATTCGTTTGGTTGTTTCTGTAATATGTACTCTTCTATGATGCAACTGTAATGATTTTTCACTACTAAATCTTTGATTGCAAAGCGTGCAAATCACTTCAATATTTGATGGTATTACTAATGTTTCAATTTTTTGATCAGATTCTACTTTTGTAGTTACATCTGATGATTGTGGTGGTTGAAGTTGATGTAACAGTGGTTGTTGATGATAAACTTGTTGAACATGTAAACCTGGTACAAAAATATCTTCAAACACATTCATACGGCCATCCAGCAACTTAATATCCTTTACTTCAGGTTGATCTGTAGATTCTCTACTGCTACTCGGTCCAGCTTCTTTGTGCGCGGTGGTACTATGTACCCGGCGTTCTTTCGGACAATCAAATACTTCAGGGCAATGATAACATTTGAACGTTCTTTTTGTAGGAGTTTTCCTATCTCGATCTAAAAATAAACTTGATGTAAAATGTGTAGCTAAAGACCTGCTATCTAATAGTGGGACTGCAATTTCATTGTCTGATCCATCTGATTCTTCCCAACTTTCACGTGCCATTAAATCATAAGATGTTGACATCCGTGATGATTCTTGACCAGCATACAACTAAATGTATAAAATAAATTTGTTAATACAAACATAACTTTCAAATCCACTTCTTTATATTTACTGTATTAAATATCAGCACTATATTTATAAACAAAAGATTATATACGTACCTGCCAAGCAGATTGTTCTGTACATCCATTGCTTTCCTGTTCTGATAATTCACCTCTGGGTGGCATAGTTTCATCAGCTCTCATATTAATGCTTTTAACTTCTTCATCTACACCTATTCCACCTTCACTACTTGCCATAGACTGTTGGCTGGTTCCACTAACTGCTTTTTGAGAAGAATCACTTATAAATGTACTAGGAACTAAGATTTGAAGCCCATCAAATTCAAATACATTCATTGGACCTGCATGGGCATCTTCATTTAAACTAAGTAGTTCCACTGATTGCTTTTGTATAATGGATTTAGACAAATGAAAGCTTTTTGAATCAGAACTACTTGCAATATCACTAGATTCTGATAAATTTACATGATTATTACTTTTACTTGGCATATTATATGTCTCATCCATTGATGTTGATTGTTGAGAATGCTGTGAATGAATTGTAGGAAATGAACTCATATGTTCAGTAATTCCAGATTGATATGCAGAATTTCCTTCTATATTTTTCTCATTTTTACATAAGGAAAGTTCTGATTGATCGGTTTTTACATCTTGTTCAACCAGGGAACAATCAATAGGATCCTTTTCTGGTGATTCATCCATTGCTATATTACTTTCTTCATCGTGACTTATACCATTAGTATCCATATGACAAAATGAATGCACTGAAGCAGGTGAACATGGTTTACTAAGATCCTTTCTAACTCTTAGTACAGAAATACCACTACTTGCAGACAATGGAGTATGTGATCTAATATTTTCTGTACTCTCACCATATTTAGTAAAAGGAGTATGTGGGCTAGGAATTTCTTCTATTTCCATATCTGCCTCATCAAAATTATCTTCTGCTTCATTTTTCTCATCTTCATCATCTTCATCTTGCATCGTATTAGCATCAAAACCAATTGAATAAAAATTAAGATTTTCATTTGAACCAAATTCTGAACGAACAGAGTAAGTTCTATGAGATCTTCTTTGTACAACAGGTGATGAAGGTGCAGATAAACTGTTTTTATAGTGGTACGAAAAACAAGAACTCTTATTTTCTTCGTGCTCTACTACATCAATTTCTGAACATTGACTAACTTTTATTTTTATATCAGATTTACAACCGTTTTCGTGTTCAATAGGATTACTATTAGTTGTTTCATGAATTACACTTTCTGCCCTATCAGAAGGACTTTTCTTTGTATCTTTACTCTTCTTTCTACCATCTTCAAAATTGGATTCTTTCTGTGGTGTTTTATTAAATTCATTTTCCATAATAGTGATTAAAAGATGCTCTAATTGTTCTACTTCAGGCTGAGCTGGTGCCTTTACTGCATCTTCTAAGGGCATTTCTGCTGAGGTACCTTCATTTTCACTTACTTCTTCTCTGTGAGGAACTTTTTCATTAGTTGCTTTCTCTCTCTCATTTTCCGTTACCATTTGTGATACTTCAGACACAATAACTTTATTGTTATCATCATCATCATCTTCATATCTGTGTACATACTCTTGAATTTCTGATGATTCATAATGAATAGACTTACACTGCACATCTGTAGTAACAACACATGATGATTCTCCATTGTCAATATCCGGCAATACACTCTCAACTTTATCATCAGTAGTATCATCGACATTACAAGTAATTGCCAATGATCTTGGAATGCTATCATATTCATTTTGCACAGTACGCTGCTCTGGAGTACTTGAACTAGGGGGTTCATCTTCTTCTTGTTCTATTTGAATTGTACTAGTTTCACTTTCATTTTGCTGCATAGAATTATCTTCATTTAATGATGGGGGAGAAACTGGAAGATTGATATCTGGTAACACTTGTTCAGACTCCTGTTCTGATTCAGGTAAAATCTCAGGTAAAATTTGTTTTGGCTCGAAATTATTTACAGGTACGGCAATGGCAGTCCTACCATTTGTTTCACCAGCCATAGTTACCACTGATCTACCTCTACCTGTGTTAGGTAGGGCTGAAACTGGTGAAATCATTTGAACAGTTGGTATTTGTTGTTGCTGGTACATACCGTATGGATTATACAGCATTTGCATCATTTGGTTAGCTTGTGGAGCCATTGCGTATTGTGGTATCATCATAGTGCCATTATTTACAAACTGTTGATAACTAAATGAAGCAAACTGAGGTGGCATCACAGTACCGATAGGTGGACACTCAAAAATAGGTCCTATAGGATATGGAGATTGAGCCGATAGATGATTATTCTGTGCAACTTGAGATGCATTTTGGGATGATTGTATAGCCGGAGATGTTGGAGGTACTGATGGTGACAACTGTGTCTGTTGCACATGTGAGGAATTCGTACTAGCTTTAATAAGAGCTTCAATGACTTGTTCTTTTGGATGAGTGTCCAAATGTCTTTGTAAGCTGATACCCTCACGTAAATAGAGGGTACATACTGGACAAGCCACTGCACTTCCTGATGCTCCATTATTTGTTGCATCCATTGTGTTTGAGGTATTTTGTTTATACATTTAATTTTTCAACTATTACATTGAACACAACCAATGCAATGAAATTTTCTGTAAAATATCCACAATGCAATAGTAACACCACTTTTTTCTTTTTGTAATTGACGTCTTTACTGTTACTGCCGTTACTGTCGTTTTCGTCGTATCTGTCGAAATTATCGTTCTATTCGTCACAGCTATCTTCGCAGTCGCAGTCGCAGTCGCCGTCACCGCCACCGTCCTCGTCGTCGTCGTTGTTATTATCGCCGTCGTCGTCGTCGTCGCCGCCGTCGCCGGCGTCGCCGTCGTCGTCGTCGTCGTGGTCGTCGTCGTCGTCGTGGTCGTCGTCGCCGTCGTCGTCGCCGCCGCCGTGGCCGTTATGGTTGTGGTCGTTGCCGTTTTGGTCGCCGTCGTGATGGTCGTTATGATCGTAATAGATGTAGTCGTTGTAACCCGTAATTTGACTAATATCGTTAACACATATTGCCGATAGCTGGCCGCATTTTGGGCTTTATCAGGCCTGCAAGCACATTAGAGCACGGCATATGTACGGCCGACACGTTGCACCAGGCAGTGCCCCAAAAATATCGACGTTCATGGCTACCTGGTTCGTGTGTGCGATGGAGCCAGCAAGGCAGTCGCGGACAAATCAATATCCTATTAAATCGCCAGCCTCCCCTGCTCTTATTAAATTACACCTGCACTGTTCACACACGATTGTAATACAGCACCTTTTTCAAACCTAGGTACAACAACTTTTTCTAAGAGCCTTTTGTTTCTCATTCGATTATCGAAACGGCATGTTTTTCGCCCGATTCCAGCCTAAAAACACAACAGAAAACAGTGACGAGTAGTATTCCACCTTAGAATGAGAACAACAAGAAGTGTTACTACGAATACAGCGCCCCCTCGTACACTGTTCCATTAGTTACAATCTTCCAGATTTACCGATTATGAAATAATCATTTTCTCTTTTATCGACTCTTTTAAGTATTGTTATATACTAATATTACATTTCTGGAAATATTTCTACTCTATTATTATAATCATAATTTCATTTATAATACATATTATTTTTCTACTTGTTACCTACTTTCTTCTTACTCCTATTACTCTTATATTTTCCCTATTTCTCTTATCCTATATTTATGTTTTTCAAATTTATTTTTGTTTTTATTTTATTTCAAATCTCTTATAAGTTTTAAATATTTAAATAATATTTTATGATACTTCTTAATTATGAAATAATTTTTAATTAATAATATTGTCCAAATAATTATTATTAATATTATAATTTAATAAATATTTTTTAGAATAGTATCATGAATAATAAAATTAATTCTATCTTTATCTTATAGTTAATTAATGTATTATAAAACAAGGTGTACAATTCTATTCTAATAAGTGTTTTATATATTAAGAGATAACAATAATAATAGTGCAACGACATAATTTTTCAATAATAATCGACTTACTATATTTTATTTATCTATGGTTTCGACTAAGCATGCGCATATAATGTGAACAACATCTTTTTGTGTTGATCACGTTGGTTAATGTCTAGATCATAGATCTTATGTTATTTGATGTTAAATGATGTTTATATTTACATGAATAATTTGGTCGAATTAATTAATAATTTAATCAATATGTAATAATGTACATTAAAATTAAAAATTTTATTTTCTACTTAAAAAGAACTAAATGAATTAATAAATTGAAAAATTTTATGTTACAAATGTAAATGATAATTTATAACTTAAATTTTTTAATTACATTAAAAGTTCATGTAAATCATTATAAAAGAATATTTCAGTATTAAAATATATGTAGTATGCTACTAATATAATATCATAACATAAATAATGTAATTTGAATTAAATGTAAATAAATTTATAGCAATAAACAATGAATGGCCAGTGGAAAAAATATATGTTTTGGTTTGCCCAAGAACATACCGATTTTCGTATTGCAGTAAGTATTTCTATATTAAATTTTTATTTTCATTGTACATAATATTTTTACATTTATTTTTTTTTTAGGAAATGGAATCTATTCTTAATATGTTATGTATAAATACTTATATTCATTCAAAATTAAAGAAACATGTAAGAAAATATAATTATTGTATTAATTAACATAATTTGATACATTTATTTATGTTATCAATAATTTTTGTCATAGCCATATTGGATAGTTAATTTACCTTCAGAAATTATGGCACATGAAATTTCAAGCAGAGCTGTTTGTGTCCGATTTTGTATAGAATTATGGGCTAATAGCAAAAATGTTGAAGATTTACATAATAAGTTAAAAACTTATCCAATTTCAGAAATTAATAAATATGCTGGACCACACAAGTCTTTCAAAGTAATAGTTGAAACATTTTGTAAACACTTTTCACAAAGTGAAAAAATAAACAAAATTGATGTATGTATATAACTGAATTATGCTTTGTAGAATAATAAATGTTTTTATAATAAACAAACATTATAATATATATTGCATTATATGAAAGTCTTTTAGTTATTTGCCATTGGAAGGACCAGTAAGATTGAATAATCCAGACACAACATTGTGTTATATAGAATTTTATGGATTAGATCCTAATAACATTCCTAAAGAACCATACGAATTGTTTTTTGGTAGATGGGTAAGTATTTTTATATTATATTATAACATTATACCATTGTGTGTATGTTATAGTTTATACTCAATTTTTAGATCACAAGTGGGCAAAGAGATTTAATCCGAAAATTATCATTGAAAACCAGAAAATTCATTGGTAATACATCTATGGATCCTCAGTTATCATTAATAATGGCTAACCAAGCTCAAGTCCAAAAGGGAGACATTATTTTTGATCCATTTGTTGGTACTGGATCCTTATTAGTTGCTGCTTCTCACTTTGGTGGATATACATTAGGAACAGATATAGATTTTCTAATGCTTCATGGGCGTACAAGACCTAGCAGAATATCACAAAAGGTAAAAAATTCAAATTTTGTTTATAATAAATGGCATTAAATTATTATTAAAATAATAATTTAGATAAGGGAAAAAGATGAAAATATTGCCACAAATATGAGTCAGTATGGGAAAAGATCATATTATATTGATGTAGTTGTGTCAGACTTCTCTTATCCTTTATGGCGTTCTGATATGTGCATAGATGCTATACTTACTGACCGTAAGTATAATATTTTTTTACTAATTGTTGGTTTTTATTATAAATAATTCTATTTCTTTATTCATTATAGCTCCCTATGGCATAAGGGAAGCAACAGAAAGGATAGGTACAACTAAACTAAATCCAGTTATAGAGGAACATCAAGCTTCATCTCATATACCATCTAAAATTGGTTACGACTTACCTCAAATGTATAAGGATTTGCTAACTTTTGCAGCCAAACATCTTAAATTAAATGGTAGATTAGTGTGTTGGTTTCCTTTATTTAGGTAAAAGATATTTATTTATTATAAAAAATTATTTATCAATACTACAGATGTTTATTTTTGTAGAATGAAATATAGATCATTACTTTTTAGAGATCAGTATGCAGAGGATCAATTACCAACACATCCATGTTTAGATTTAATAGCTAACTCAGAACAAGTACTTAGTAATTATACTAGTCGCAGATTATTGACTTATAAAAAAGTAAAAGATCCAAAGGTGTGTATAAATAATTATTCTATACAATAATATTAAACAATGGTTTGATTTAAATCTCCGATTTTTTCTGTCAGGAATCAGATGAGATAATTTCTAGTAATTTAATCGATTTCCGAGAAAAATATTTTGCATTACGAAATGAAACTAGAAAGGAAAAACGAATGAAGAAAGCTGTAGAAAAAGCAAAGGAAAGAGAGCTGTGGGAACAAAATAATAAAGAAAATCCAAAAAGATGATTGTAATTATTTTACGTGTAACAAACATTTATTTTCCTTCAAATTCGTTTGAGACTATAATTTTTATCAAACTGTTGCTTTTTATGACCATGTGTGCATTTCAGAGAAAAGAACATAACATGTGCAAAAATGTGTAATATAATTGTTGATGTAATAACAGGAAAAAATATGAACTGATAATGAAAGAATTTTTACGTTACGAAAAATTATCGAAAAAGTACATTGTGAAGCGTACATTTTCATTTAGTTCTATCATCTTTTTAATAATTAATCCTTAAAAATGATTTAATTAGCAATTATGCTTTACTGTGTTTTGCATAGTAAACATATTAATATATATTCATAAATTTACTTGACCCACTAAAAGACATTTATGTCAAAAGATTTGAATTAAATAATAAATTATATATGCTTATAAACTGTAAAGAGTGAACAGTACATTTACATATTTTACAGTACTTAACATGTACATATATAAATTTATATACTTAAACTTCGAGTTGCAATTGTCCTAGTAATCCTTCCAGTGCTTTAATATTTTCATCTGATACTTTTGATTCATATTGTTTTTCAATTTGATTAGCTGCCCATTCACTTAATTTTATTGCATCTTTCTTTTTAGAAGAAGGGCATTTAGGAGATGTAGCAATGTTATTTGTTGCCTGAAAATTTAAGCTTATAGTAAATTTAATATGGTAATATACCATATTTTCAAAAATGTCAAATTTTACCAATAGTAAACCATACAAAGCTCTAATATTATTTGGATTCAATCTTGCAGCTTGACAAAAGTATGCTTTTGCTAATTCCATGTTTTCAAATCCACCCTAAATATAATGTAGTAAATAGTAAAATAAGTAAATGTTTATTATTTTTATGAAATTTAAACTTCAAATATTGCTGATGAAGAAATTTTTACTACCTGAGAATATTTTATTTCAGCATATCTTTGATAAATTAAATGACTATGTGGATTGTGCAATATGAGTTCTTCCATACAGAAAGCAGCTTTAGAATATTCTTGTTCTTGTAAATATAGATCACATAATTCATGCCATGCTTCTTGGTCACTCATAAATCTATGGTAAATAAAATAAAATGTCAGCGATTAATATAAGAAAGTAAAAACCTAAAACATTAACAAAATTTCATTTAAATACTGACTTTTTCAAATATTCTGTAAGCTCCTTAATAGCTTCTGGTATTCGACCTTTTGCTTTTAATATAGCTATACGTCTTTTTCTTGGTGCTGCATTAGTTTCATCCCTTTTTATTATAGAGTCCAAAATTTGTAATGCATAATCATACCTATAAAAATATTTTACCTCTTTTATATGGTATAGACAAACACAACATACAATAATAGTTGCATAAATATATGTTACATTTCCACAGCTTCCAGGTACATGGCATGATATTTGCGGACTCTTAAGCTGCCAGGAAATTCCCTATTTAGTATCTTTATACAATAATCTGATAAAGAAAGATGCTCACAATCCAATGCTGCTATGCAGACTTGTTCCACAACTAGATATTCTATTTAAAAATTATATACATACAATTATTATAAAGATAATTAATATTATTAAAGATTTTAAAAGAAACATATCTGATCATACTTTCATTGCCAAGTTGATCAATTTTTCCCATTAATTTGGACTCCCATAAATCAACTACATCTTTACTTCGTCGTTCACCATCTTCTCTCCATGTTCTAAATAGATCACGTACTTCTAAATATATAAAAAGTTACACTTAATACAATAAATACTCCGAAATTAGATTTGAAATGCTATAAATTATTAGACTATATTTTTATTAACTTACCCTTCCATGAGAATTTATCATATGGGCCTGCCATTGTTAAAGCTTTAAAAAATAATGGTATAATATTATAGATTGGCATATAAAATATATTAAATAATATTTATTGTATGATATAAATACAATGATTCACGATAAATTCAAAGCGGAAGAAAACATGAGAAGGTTAATTAATTATATGCTAAAAGAATTTATTTTATTTTATTTTTAGAATATTTTTTTATATAATGACAAATATTCTTTAATATCATAAATTTTATATAAATGTACATATTATATAAATATGATATAAATATGTTGGTCATGAATTTGTAAATACATGACTAACTCTTTACTATAACCTAAATAAATAAAGGATAAAGTATTAAAGAATATATGTCAAACTAATGTGTAGAAAAAAAATATTAAAATAAATTACAAGATATTAGAACGAGTATGTACTTAAAAGTTTATAATCATTGTAAAACACTTCAAATAAATTTGGAACTGTAGTGTCATAATTTGTGTAATAAAATCTTAGCACATATTTCAAACTTACAAAAGAATAGTTAGAATAATATAAATAAATTTACGATAAAATAGTATTTGAAACTAATGTACACGTAACTGTAAATTAAATAGTTGACTTTATAGATTACACAAATCGAAAGAATTCTAACAACTATCAGAAACTAATACAAGGCTATATGGATAATTATTCGACGAGAAATCTAAAATATATTACTTTTTAAATTGTTAAATAAGTGAAAAATATAAAAAATAATATATATTTTATTACATACATTTACAAAAAATATGCATTCATATTATTATATTGTTATACTAAAGAAAAGATGGTTAACATAAAATTCATTAGATTTGTATATAACTTAAAAATATTTTCAAACGTAAATAACAAATCCTAACATTACTTTAAAAATGTTGAATGCTGTAATTAATATACTAATTCCATTTGTTATTTACGAAATGTAAAATTATTATGAACAGACAAATTATTTGTTTTTCAATAGAAATTTAATGATAAATGTTATTTATATGTTTCTTAAATATAGTAAGAACATAATTTTAAATTTGTCAGAACTTTATTTTATTCATTTTCTAAATATTTTAATTATATTTTGTTGTTTTTTCTCACAATTATTTAATATGTGTATATGTGTCTCATTTTGACATTTATGAGTTGATTAAGCACATTTTACTAGTGGAAAATTTTTAACTAGTAATTATTTAAAAAAATATATATATATATGTATATACATAAGTGAAAAGAAAATAGGTTTATTTTAGTATATAAATTAACTTTCAAACTGTACAATTAAGATCGTTATCGGTTTAATTCTTATAGTTGTGTACTATGAAATAGGAAACGTGTCAGAGACGCTTGGACGCCATGATGGTAGGTGGAACCTGTTATCACTTATCCACCAATCTGTCTTTCCAACAAATTTAATACTGTGCAGTTCAAGTTTGTTTTATTGTAAATATTCTGTACATAATTCTTAATTAAATAAAATGTTTCAGGACGGCATATGTGATAGTGCCGACATTTTAAATAACATTCCTCCTAAAAAGGTACTTACATCAGTTTTCTTCTTCTTTCTTTTTATTATATTAAATAAAATTTTGTAAGAAATCTAATTTTTTTATGTTTAATATCATTGATTACATTTGTGATTTTGTTATTCTAAATTTAAAAATTTGTATTTGCAGACAATTCATGCTGACAATGTAGATCTCTCTGATAAGTCATTACAAGTGGATATTTCAGATGCCCTTAGTGAAAAAGATAAAGTGAAATTCACTGTACATACAACAACCACATTACCGGAATTTCAGAAACCAGATAATTTAGTTGTAAGACAACATGAAGAATTTGTATGGTTACATGACAGATTTGAAGAAAATGAAGAATATGCTGGTTATATTGTATGTTTGTTCTCCGTTTTGTCTATGTTAAATACATAATTACAATTTTAAATAATATGCAGAAAAAATATACATTTTTAGATTCCTCCTTGCCCACCCCGACCAGATTTTGATGCATCTCGTGAAAAATTACAAAAACTTGGAGAGGGTGAGGGTAATATGACACGTGAAGAATTTAACAAAATGAAGCAAGAATTGGAGGCGTAAGTTTTATATAAAAACTTTAAAGCATACTACATTATTAATATATTAAAAATATAAATTTGTATATTGATATTTTTACAGTGAATATTTAGCAACATTTAAAAAGACTGTTGCTATGCATGAAATGTTTTTAACTAGATTAGCACATCATCCAGTTTTTCGCAATGATCATAATTTAAGAGTCTTTTTGGAGTATGATCAAGATCTTTGTGTAAGAGGTGAAATTCATATTTATTCTTTAAAAAATTTTGTATTATTATCAGTTTTATTCTCTTGAATATAAATAAGAAGTATAGATTCCTTATCTTTTCAGGAAAAAATAGAATGGAAATGTTTGGTGGTTTTGTAAAATCATTTTCCACTACTACAGATGAATATTATTTGTCTGCAACAGTAAAAGATGTAAATGATTTCTTTGATCAGGAAATGTCATTTTTACAAACTTACCATCATAATTTAAAAGAAGCAACAACTCGTGCAGATCGGCAAACAGCTAAACATAAAGATGTAGCAGATTCATACATTAAAATTTCTACAAATCTTTTACAGCTAGCTACAACTGACACATGTAAATTGGAAAGATTTTTAACAAAAATTGCAGAAATGTTTGAAAAGTTAAGGGTAAGATTTTTTAACTTAATTTATTTAATTTTTATATTCTTATTATTTATATTTGTAATGTTACAATGTAATAGAAAGTAGAAGGACGAGTAGCGTCTGATGAAGATTTAAAATTATCAGACACTCTACGTTACTACATGAGGGATACAGCTGCAGCTAAACGGCTTTTGTTTAGAAGGTTAAAAGCTTTACATGCATACGAATCTGCAAACCGTGCTCTTGAGAAAGCTCGTGCCAAAAACAAAGATGTTCATGCTGTAAGTACATTACTTTAAACATTTATAACATTGTAACGTTTGTAATCAACGTGTACATATATGTTATATCTATTTTATCTATCAAATGTATGTATATGTATAGTTATATGTAAACTATGCAATGTTCAATTAGTATCTAACTAAAAATTTAACTTTTTTGCTCATCAAGGCAGTGGAGGTTACTGAGGTGTGTTTTTCTCTGTTTGTACGTTTGCCGCCTTGTTGTAGTGCATAATAATTATAAACGTCATTTTTAGTTTAAAGAAAGAAAAAAAAAATGTGCAAGGCTGTTAATGTTAGAATTGTAAAATACTTTATAAATTGCATAGTAATTATATTCTACTTTTAAACGTATTGAAATATTTTCACAGGATTTATATATTTAGTATTTGTTGAAGAAAAAAGGCGCGATTGGAACTAGGATGTGTTTTAGAGTATTATTTAATTAAACATGCATGGAAATTTGCATGAACATTTATTTTTTATATTGATATTATTTAACTGCGAATAAAAAGATAAAAAATTGTTATAATAAAAAAAAGTAATAAAAAAAGGCAATGACTGTGGAAAGTCTATCTTGTAAAATGAAATTATAAAAAATATATACTATTTTAACATAATATAATTGTATAAAATTGCATGTTTTTGTTTTTTGTTTGTAGAATTGTTCAATAAAAAAGAACTGTTGATATTACAAAAAAAATTATAATTAATAGTACTGTTCATTTATCTGGAGATTATAATTATTTTTGGTTTTGTTGATTTAGGCGGAACAAGCTCAAACAGAAGCCTGTGAGAAATTTGAACAAATGTCAGAAAAAGGAAAAGAAGGTAAAGAATAATATTGTATATTTTTTTACTTTATTTATAATAATTAATTAATAATAATGGATCACAATGAATAAAATAATATATTAATTTCTGTTATAGAATTAGTGGATTTCAAAACAAGGAGAGTAACTGCTTTTAGAAAGAATCTGATTGAATTAACTGAACTTGAAATAAAACATGCAAAAGTAAGGATATTTTTATTCTTCTTAAATATGTCTTTTTATACAGCAAGATTTAGAAATATTTTATTTTGTTTGCAGGCACATGCGGAATTGCTCAAAAAATGTTTAACAGTTTTACGAGAAGAGTGATCCAGTTTTATAACTCTCGTTACAAAGATTACCGTGTAATCTATATAAAGATAACAATCTATTTAAAATTATAGCAATGTAATGGTACTGTAAAATATATATTTTTTGTTATCTAGATTTATATTATCTGAAAAGAAAAATCGTATTATCAGCTACAAAAGGGCTCCATATAAAATTAATTTGTATTGCTTAACATTTTCAGGTTATATAAATTCATGTATTTGTAATCATTTATGCTTAAAAAGCATTTATCTTTTATGTCATTTAACATTTTTTCACAAGTTGTTCTATTTTCAGAGCAATGTAATCGATATATTGGCTCTGATTGAGTTCTTTTGTAGATTTATATTAATCTCTTATAAGGCATAAGATTCTTTACATTTTACATATGTCATAAGCATGTATGAGGTGTTTTTTAATATGTGCTATATTCAGGAAATAAGAGATTCGTGATGTGGAAAAGAGATAATTGAAAGTTGCATGTATATTTTTGAAAAAGAAAGTAATTAGAAGAAAATGGAAATTTTATAAAAGTTATAAAATTCAAATATCTAATAAATATTCGAACATTCATGTGTATATAAAATATTGAGAAACTAAATATTGTAGAAAATATCGATGTTGTATATTTTAATTTTATTATTAATAATTAAGAATAGTAATTATATTATAAAAGTACCACTAATCACATTTTTATTTGTGGAATCTTTTATTTCCAAAATTTATCACATTTTATGAAACGTCTTGTATATAACGATTCTATATATACAAGAAAACACTTAAGTAATTATGTTGCAATTAAAGCTTAAAATAAAATCAATTATTCATTTATTCTAATGATATAAATAATGAAATCTGTAGTGGTAAAAAAGAAAAGATTTTATTTCTAGCGGTGTTTCTTTTGTATCTTTTAAGCTAATTAAAAGTTTATTATAAATTAGCGTACACGAATTTTTAAAATTTTTATATTACACATTAACACGTTGTACACTACACTGTTAAATCAATTTACATTATTTTGTTTGTTTAATAAATTAGTCACGAGTAAAGGGACCTCAAAATTAGATAATTATATATCATCTGATTGTACGCGTTTACTATTAGAATCATTGAAATCTGCCAAAGATAAAAATTAAAAAAAGAAAAATAAAAGTAATTACAAAAGAGTAAATATATAGACAAAGATTTATGATTTTATTACTTTGGAATATTCTCTTCGTTATTATACACGACTGCAAACATTTGCTGAAAAAATTGTTGAGTGAAATTTATTATTTAAGGCCTTAAAAATTAATTTAAAATATTGCCATAGTGATCTACATACCATTATAGTATTAATAAATTGTATGTCTCAGAATTAATAGAATATTACACTGATTTGCTTATCATGCAATGATGATTTTCATATTACATTATTACATATACATAAAAGATAAATTTTGTGAACACTTTGTTTTGAATAATCATGTAGAAGTTTCTTGTAATATATTCACCTTTTGTATTATCTTATTCTAGACAAAAATTGGTAACTATCTATGTCTAATAAACAATATTTTATAAATTAATAATATTTAATTTTTTCGAAAAGATTTGTATCAACGAATAACAAATGAATCCGTAATTTTTTTAAAATTTTTTAATTTTTTATAGTATACTATTCGTTAATTTTAATCATTTTAAATCATTCAGAAAATTTTTATTCTGCATCAATGAGCACTAGATAAGATAAAAATCGAAAAGGAAGGTTGTTTAGAGCTATTAATTTAATGTCTTTTGTTTTTAATTTTGTATTATTAATGAAATTCTAGGAAATTTAATTTTTAGTTCATATTCTATAAGGTATGAAAATTAAAAATTATATTGTACCTATATTAATATACTCGTATATTCAATTTTCTGACAAACATAAAAATACTTTTTAAATTTATTAGTATTTATCCCATTTATTTGTTTCTATCGCAATTTTTTAATCTTTTTTGTACGTTCTTAAATTTCCATTTAAATTTTAGTCTGTCATAATTTTAACTTATATTATTTGTAATTATTATATCTATTATTTTTATTATTTTTTTAATAGAGATTGCATTTTTTATCTTTTCGTTAATGTTAAAATTAGTAAAAGAATCTTTCATTCTATTAGCTGTATTTAATTTCATTGGGAACTTTTGATTTGCAATATATTACTGTTATGATTATATCTAACTTCTTTGATTGATCGAAATAGAGATATATAATCATCTAAATACTTTATTTTGTTACGAATTTTGCAATTTTTCCAAATTTCCGTGTGTTAATTTATATCTTCAAAGAAAACAACACTTGGCAGAAATGGACTTCTTATTCTTATAACATAATTAATCTCTATCTTTTATCTTCAAATTAAAATAAACCTTTATTCTAAAAATTTTCAATGATTACCATGACATAACTATTTTAAGAAAATTACCAATTAATTTTTTTATACCAAAAAAAGAAAGAATGTCTGCTGATAAAACCAACTCGTTTATTTTTCGTTGTGCTACGTCTTCTTTCTTTGGCGGAAAGTTAAATAGTATTATGACAAAAAACCATCGAATTATTGTTGCTGTTATTAAGTTGTCGAACATTCGTGTATTATGACGTGAAATATTTTTTGTTTCACAAGTTAAACATACGTCGGAAGAATTCTTTGTTTCAGTAATAAAAAGGAAAGAGTAACAACAAAAAAAAGAATACAATGTGATATAACATAAAGCATTATCCATGTAGGAAACCTTATAATATTGACATTTTTTTGGCATATCCTCTTCGTTCCATCATAATTCAAATATTGCATAGAATATTAAATTATAAACGTGTGTTTTTTGTGCAAATGTTATTGTGTAAAGAAAAAATAATAAGCTCACCTCTTCTTTTCTTGATGAATAATACAGCTCTTCTTAACCAGAAATATCCAAATTCACTTGAGATGCAAGAAAAAGAGTTCCGGGAGATACGGGGATAATGGTACAATATAAACATTGAATTATTACCTGTTATATTTCATCAATGTATTCCCAACAACCTAGAGAGGAGAATCAAAAATTGATCAGTGTCGTCGTTGGATCGTTTTTTTATCTTTTATTTTCAAAACCACCTTCGTGTCTCGAATTGGTTAAAGGAATTCGAGATCTTTGAGAGAAGTTAAGAACTCCTGTGCCAATGAATGCCACAGAATGCATCGGCTAAGGACTCTTCAACTTTATTAAGATTCGTTGAAATTTTTTTTGAACGAACTCACCTTCGGTGTTTCGTCCGATCACAGGGACAGTCAGTAAATATCAAGGGATTGTTCTCTTTTTTGTTTCATGAGGAACACCAAAAGTAAGTAAAGCCGACAAAAAACTTGCAAGAGTTTCCTTGTATTGATTTATGAATGAATGAAATGATACACCTCTATGAGGGAAGAACACATTGCCAGAAGTTTATTGATCGGCTTTACTTGGCTTGATACGATTGAACAAAACCGTTTCCTAAGTACGGTTCCAGTGTCATAAAATTTGTCCTTTTTCAAGCTTTTTTAATGAATCGGTTTATCACAGTTGATCACTGTGACAATCAATTTCTTAAGGAAGCAATAAGCTATACGTATTGGCTTATTGTCCATTTCGTATTATCTTTCACACATTGTATCTTTGAGATACAAATGAATTTTGAAGATAAATTTATCGTTCAACAAATCAGCTTCTCGTCTAATTATCCTTTTCACATTCGATACTTTTTTCACGTTTTATAATATATTTACGTATATGTTCCGCTTATACACGCAAATCTTTTTGATCGTAAACCATCTACAAACCAACTGTATTTGCTTTATAATTAGGACGACGTAATTGGTCTTTTATAATAATCAGACTTATATTACACGCATGCAATCACGAACGCAGGTACACGCACGTGCAGATTTCGATGATTTATTTATGGAACTAAAAGATATTGTCATCGAGACCTTAACGAAGACAATTGCTACGTGGTTCAAAGATATACTTCTATATAATTTCTTTCTTTCATTTTCTTTCATCTTCCATTCTTTCGTTCTCATTTTCTCTGACAATCCTCTCTTGATTTTTTATCGTTGCGGTTTATGAAAATTCGATAGAGCATAATACAGACACCAAAGAGTCGATATTTTATATTGTGGATTTTATTAAAATTCGATTTCAACGGATTTGCGAATAAAATGTTCGAAATAATTGGAGACAAAGGTTCGTAAGAAGGCGGGCGAAACGTTAAGCAACGTACGAAAGTATTTCCTTTTTCCTTATTCATCATGTCGTGTGTATGTGCGCGTATGAGTGTTCTGTATGTGTGTGTCTCCTGTGTGTCTATGTCGAATTACGTAACGCCTATCTAATTAAAAAAATCTGACAAACGACATTGAATACCGATAACATGTCGATTTTCATTCTCCTTTTACACAGCAAACTTAACCTACAAAACATCATAGGTGAATTACGTGTAACGCTGAAGTACACAGAGATTTTCTATGGCAGATATACTATCGATGTTTCGAGATATACACACAGAATGCGTAAAATCGTGATCGAATTGTTTCGAGTATTAAAGTCTTATCATTTATTATCCTACTGATCTTATGTCTTTATTGAAGTTGTTACTTACTTTGAAAGAGATCAAGTCGTTAATTTCTTTTTCTCTCTCTTTCTCTTGCGTTTATGCGGTCATATTTATTATCCTCTAGAAGATTTTTCAGATGAAATTGAATCGAAGAGTGATCGATATTTATCGTCTCTTCGATTATTTTCCTAACGCGTACAAGGTTGCTTCTCTTGGTTAGTTCAACTTAGTTCATAAATCTTGACCGGAATTATTAGAGTTATGATCGATTACCTTTTGAGGTCTTTCTCATATTTTCATGTTCAATGTTTAGAAGGAATGTTTTTAAATAAAAAAGAAATACAAATTTTCGATTAAAGTATCACTTTGCAAATAATTTCACGACGATGGATTTACAACGTGAAAGCAAAAATACAAGTGAATGAATCGATAGAATCAGGTTCGTGTCTCCTAGCTTCTTTTATTATACTTTTCTTTTTTTCTTTAGACTTCGTTCATTGTCTACGTCTCTCTTTATCCAATCGATGGCAGTGTCACGCGATACTCACGCGATCTTGTTCACGTGGATTGTTACTTGGAATAAGAAAACTTCGTTATATATATTCAGAGTTTCTAGCTAATACGCAGATTTGTTTCGAACAGTTGTAAAATCGAAATTTATGAAACGTTTAGTCCGAAGGTCTTTCTACGTCAAGCGGTATGGCAGTTTTTCTCTTGCCCTGGATTTTATCACACTTCTGTTATATTTCTAGATATAATACACTTGTCGTTTGATCCTTGTTTTAACCTTCCGTCTGCATTTAAATTCTAGCTTTACGCGACTTCTTTCTTTCCTCATTCCTTTCTATTGAATTTTTATTCTTTCAGGACAATGACAAATCTTATTTTCCACGATATGTAACGTTGACCTTGTGCCATTTAAAAATAATTGTCAAATGCAGACAAAATGTTGGTAGGTATACAACAGTTCCTACAGGAAATTGAAAATTAATGGTAAATCATGCAAAGAAATATCGAGCTTTTTTTTATCATTCACAATATTTTTTACCCTCGGCTTATTTTAAACAAAGAATAATTAGAGATACATAATATGTATGTCATACAATGATTCGTGTAACGATACCTTGGGGGTAAACAAATTGGTATGGAACACCGATACGACGTCGATGTGTTTACATACATGTTGGATATACCTTATTAATATATTTTACATTTGCCGTTTTAAACCCTGCATCGTTTACTTTACACCCCGTTAACTCGCTCGTTATATTCATAAATATTACGTTGATACTCAATTTCTACCCTTCATAAAAATCTCAAGTGAAATCTATTAAGAATGATATAAATTATTTAAGGATCATGTCATTCGAAGAATTTTGTATTGTTCACTGGACATAACCAATGCTCGTCGCAAAGGAAAATGTAAGAAATGCGCACATGGAATATCGATCTTGCGATTATGGGTTGCATGTATGAAACTACAAAAGGTAGGCTAGATTCGCGGCAGATAAAATGGAATTGAAACGTCCTGAGAGGTGATTAATTACGAGAACGGTACAAGAATCGAACTAGATGGGCCGAGGGTTGTTAAAAGGTATGTAAAGTCCCGCAAATACGTTGCGATACTTGGTAACACCGTCAATTTCAAAACTTTGGTTCACTAACACCACGATTCGCTCGTGTCTGTTGCCATATCTCATCGTCGTTTGTTCAATGAAAGCGGCGCAAAACTTGGTGGAAAACTGCCACAACGGAGAACTGTTGCTCACGACCGTAAAACGGAACCGGGGAATCTATCGTAACTTTTTAAAGAGGATAAACCCGGTACGTGAGTTTAAATTGACGTGACGCTAGGATTCGTATTGCTTTCGTGGGGTATCGTGATTAGCTCATTTCTTTTACCGAGAAACGATGTGCCGCCGGTTTCGTAAAGACTTCAATGGAACGGCTTAAGAACAACCGAATATGTAAAAAATTTCACTGCTATATAAAAACTGACACGATCACAGATTTGGTATTCTTCGTAGTTTAATATAATAAAAACAAATCGTTTTTGTTTAAACAAATTTATAACGAACAAAGGTATAGTATACTACGAACGTTAACGATAAGATCCTATTTATAATATGTACTTATGTTTATTGCACTTTATTCCTTCAACTAAGTCTGTGCTTTGATTTTATTCACGCCCCGTTCACTTGCTACGGAAAATTTTATTTTCCGAAACATCATCCGTGTGATGGAAGGAAATTTGCGTTATTTAACGTTACTTTATATCTTTTGTAGATGGAGATATACGTAACCAGAAATTGGGGCTGAAGAATGGAGCAGTCTTAGGATAAGGGAGAAAGAGGAAGAGAAAGAGAGAGAAATTCGCGATTATTCGTGAGTATCTTTATAATTTCGGTCACACGTTAATGAACATATGGACACGCAGAACGATCTACCATGAAAATCTCGTATATTGAAATAATTCAGCCGGCGGCAATCTCGGCAATGAAACAGAAAAGAAAAAAATTACGATGTGGAAGATACGATGAGACTCAACGATTGTACGAACGCGGCTAATTGAACGCAATGAAAAGGAAGGAAACGAAGATTTACAAAGACGATATGGAAATTGAACCGCGAAGAGAAATGTACACAAAGGATGAACGTAGAGAAAAATCAGAGATCGCGTGGTATGACGAGATTCCAGCTTTTAAAAGGGAAAGAAGGAGAGTGAATAGAGGGTTAAAATCGCAGAATAGTAGCCTATCTATCACAAACGGAAGTAACGGTATAATAATTATGGACATATCGAAGAGAAACGCTTATCGCATTAAAACGACCTCTATCGCAATGGTGACAATTAGTACTAGCAATTCACAGGAATTTTTTTCCGCGGCCGACGTCTTGCGGCGTTGTATGGCTGCCATTTTGTCACCTGAAACATTAAAAGCAATCGTTTAGAAGAATTATTACCTATTTCTTAAAATTAGTTATTTTGTTGGTGAAGAAAGAGAGAAATTTTGGTTTTTAAAAGAATATTCTACCTTCTGTGACAAAGACATAGATGAATGCCGGCTTGGTATTCGAGGATCTGCACGTATAATTGCCAGTATCCGATTCCACCGCTTGGTGAATCGTCAGTCGACTCTGAGTCGAATTGGGGTTGTTTTGTACCGTTACGCTGCCTCGCGTGGTATCGTAATTTATCATTCGATTATTATGATACCAGAAGACATACTGCGGCGGTGTTGGACTCTGAAATCGTAAGGATAAATCATATACCATATCGTAAAGACATTATTTTTTATACAATTTTCAGATTTTTAAGTATTCGATGCTATACAGTGACACATAAGGATCAATGTGGATTTTTAAATAAATATGTATATGAATACATGCCTAATGACGAGTAATATTTATTTGTCACATTATAATCTTAGCTAAAATCATTTTAGTTGACACTGTTGGAAAAAGGTATGAAAATCTAATCGGATAATTTTAGACCTTAGTCAAAAAATACAAATAATTTATAAAACTATAATTATATCTCTACGAAGACTATTTTCAGAGATATAGATTATTTTATTTTTAATATTAACTCTTCCGTTATAAAGACTGGCTAAAGTCGCCTGTCAAACAATCATTCAGTGCCTATTAAAAGAGACTATACTTAGACGCAGAAACTATGGTGTAAATGCAATTATATCGATAAATTCGTTTCTATGAATTTTCTATGAATCAGGTCTATGAAATCGGAGCTTGGTAGAAACATGTCGCTAGGAAGGAAATTATAGAATTCAGTGAACGGTATTTTATATTCCTTTAGCTTCGTGCCAAACGAAACGTCATTTTAATGCGTCCTGGAGCGTCATATCGATTGTCGATACGACAGATAGAAATCTCGTTGTCACCTAGTGTAATTAAGTCTAGCCGGGATAATTGCCGAAACGATCAATAGATGTCGATACAGTGGCAGTTTTGTATTATTTTTTGCACGGACACGTTCAGTAGACGTATTTTGGCGCGTCGTTCTCACCGAGAGAAGAAAAAAGTAACATCGCATAGTGTGTGGCGCGAAACATTTTCGATGCGCGTCTGGTGTCTAGAATCGAGCGACGTTTTTCCCTATGAAACGTACGAAGTGAAATAGAACGTCGAACTCGGCCACTTGTAGCGAATTTCGTGAAACGTGATGTAGACGTCTTCTCCGCTGCTTCAACCGAATATAGCTCGCACGAAAAAACGCAAATCGTTTTTCGATTCGTCGATTTCGTTGGAACGTTCCAAATCGTTTCGAGCGTGCATTTGATCGTGTTGACGACGTTCCGAGCATTATTTTTGCTGAGTTCACATACCCGAGATTATCTTAAGACAATATATAACGTGCTTATGAATGCCGTATCTTCTTATAAGGCTCAGAAGCCATATTGCTTTGCAGTTAATACCATCAATTTGGCACGAAAGAATTTCTTAAATGCACTTCCTCGGCATCGTTGTAGACTAAAGGAGCATGCCTATGCGGTAGAGATCGGTGTTCTATCTTCTTTTGTGTTCGTGGACGTATAAGACGCGCGCATTTTCGTCCGGAACCGTTATTCGCGTACGTAGACGCGAGGGGAAAAAAAGCGACTCACTTTATTTTCGTTTCTCGATAGTGTCGAGTTTGCAGCGGCGGCCGGCAATGCCGCTTTAATGTACTTCCACTCTTGTATTCGTGACTAAGCTGTGCCTATTTCACTAGAGGTTTTTCCGCTCTACGCCTGTATGAAGGTACATTGAATGTTCCCACGAACTGCAAGCTGTACGTTTCTATGTACCTTCGTTAAGCGGATGGACTGCATGGCGTGCCTTTATTCAGGGCCGTGGCGTATATGAGCGACACGATTATTTTCACGTATCAATGGTACTGATATAAAATTTTCGCGACCGTATTTATTATTTGCGATAAATCCGCGGTTTCACAACAGATGGCGCTAGGAGACGGGAACCACGTTTTAATATGGTATATATATATACGTACGATGTGTTTGCATGACATGTACCTAACCTTTGCTCGAAAGACTGAATAAGATCGTGTTTATCATTTTGAAACACCGAAGAACGAAACATTCACTGCGTAGAAATGAATGAAGCGTGATTAAAATGTGTTCTTACCTTTTCTATAATGCATACGAGATTTATTATAGATCCTACATCGACGTGATGTTCGCCGCTTCCTAATATAAAAGCTTCCGGTACAACTATGTTTAGATTGACAAAGTGTGATAGTATCCCTGTATTCCTCGCAATCTGCAACGAGAAACGAACGGTGCAATATTATAATCATCACCATATAGAAGATACATGAAAGGTATATTTCAATATAAATTTCAACATTCTTTTTTATCTAGGTTATTAAACCTAAATATGGCTTTCAGTGAGTTTCGTACGAAAGACGTATCTATTTCACTTTGGAAACAACAAGTTCACCTAAACACCTCGTTTGTCCGTTCTCGTGAATTTCTCCTCGTGGTCTCATTAAAATCGATTCGTTTCGAGGGTCGCGAGCACGTTCCAGCAACGAGACGCGCTGGTGAATCCGCCGTAAAGTTCCTCGTGAGGTAAGTACAATTTGATATCACGTATTGCTCATCGCATTAATAATTCGAGATGTCTGATTAAAATAATTTTCCTAAGGGAATAATTAATCGTGTTATTACCTGACACTCGTAGGTCCCGTTGTCCCTGTCTTGAACATACTTGATCTGAAGAGTCCAGTCGTCCGAGCCCTCAGGATGCAAAACTTGAAACCGCTCGTCGTTCGTGTACGTGAACGTGGAGCTGGTGAGGACGTGGAAGTCACGTCGTCGTATCCAGGATATCTGCAGAACAGGTACGAAATCGTCGATCAGTTTCTTGCTAGTGTCACACACCGGTGATAAAGCACAGTTTCCATCTTCTTGGTTAAAGACGATGGTAACGGTTGGAAACAACTCACCTCAGCATCGGACACCGTTCTGTCTGCTAAATTGCGAACTTTACAATGTAAGAACGCGGTTCCACCCAACTGTACCGTAGCATTTGAGACAGTATTGTTGTCGTTCGCATCACTCACTCTTTGAAATTCGTCTAGGTTGCTGAACCATAGTGTCTTCCAATCTGACGGTATGCTATATGGTACACGTCGATCTGAAACGATTTTGGAAAAAGGTTCGAAACACTTTAGCTCGTTCTTGCGACAATTTTATCATTAAACTTTGTTGGGTATTCATAAGTTCTGTGAGAGTTTCATGAATTAATTTGTAGTATCTTATAAGATGGCGGGGAACTATCAAAGGATAAAATGAAATGCTGTTTGAAACGGGACTTCTTTCGTTTGTTTAATTCTGTCGTTTAGATTTTACTGTCTTACTTTGGCGTTGCTTAGTGTATAGAGAGAATTGTTCAAAGTCAACATTGTATGAAAACCATGTTATTTTTGGAAAATTGAACGTCAAAACAGATAGCTTGTGGGGATCGTAGAGCGGAAAAGAATCGGTGGATCAAATTGTCGACTTGGGATTTGGAGTCGATTCTCTCATGCGTCGTTCTATAATGTTTTACCCGTTGGACTTTCCAACTAATATTTCATTATAATTACTTTTCTAGAATTTCGAATAATTTGCAATTAGTTTTGCTAGTTTAAAATTGTTTTCATTAATCAACCGAACACCATAAATACTTGGATAAAGATATCAGAAATGATCGAATTCAACATTTCCTGCATAATTTGAAACATTATTTTAGTATAACAGTACATTGCCATTTCTACGATCATAACAGAGATCAATATTAAGAATGAAAGATGTCAACTGTAAGGAACATTTCAGAAGTAGAAGATGTTTACTGCTCAAAGCTGGAGACATGGAGAAATGGATAAACTACTGAGACAGAGGATAATTCGAAAGTAACCGGAGTGCTTTGCTAAAGGGAATAGCGAAGAATGAGGAAAACTGATGGAGTATGCAGAACGGAGTTGGTGTTGGCGAATATAGAAATCCGTAAATGGAAGGAGAGAAAATTGAGGAACGAAGAAGCAGGCGAAAGCAGGGGGGCAGATGGTGGAAGGAGAAGGTGATGGAAGGGTCTAGGCAAAAGACAAGCACTTGAGACTGAACTTTGTGAGCTTTTGAATGCAGGGCATAAGCTACCTGCCTTTTGTTTCCACGAGACAATGCGAAACCTTATACAACGAGACAAGAAGCCGGGTCTACGAGGGAAAGGTGCTCCTACTTTGCTTCGACCAGTTAGTTGGGCAGGATTTTATTCTTTTCTTTCCTTTTTAAGTATTCCCAATTCACAGTCATTTTTGAGTGGGGAGCAAGTGCTCACTAGAGAGAATTTTGCGCGAGGTTAGCGTGCTTTTAGGTATTTTTCTCTGTATCTCCCTCTCTCGCTTTCTTTCCCTCTTTCTCT